AATGCACCGGCTTGGAGATGTGCAGGTTACGAATCATGTATTTCAACGAATACTTGTAGCGCTTCTCCGCCTAAAGCACACATTGCGTCCAGCGAGACACCGAGCGCATGCAGAGCGGCGGATGCAGGTGTCAGAGTGGCAGACAGAGGAGCTGTCACCCCCGCCACAACCTCGAACCATATTTGCAAACATAAAAGTGATCCACAAAAAGGTTTTTGGTCAAGATCGCGTAATTTATAAATGTCGCTAAATCCGCCACCACCCGACACAGCCAATTAGTAAGGTTTGTCACGTAAGCAGAACATGACAATTCATTACTGGTACAGCACACCGGTGTGTTGGAGAGTAAACCCACAACATTTACAATTCGAGTACGACGTTTCGCCAGTATTTACAACCAGCATCATCAGGCGACAGCCAGAGTTGTGGAGGGATAAATGTGATGTCGTCACTTGAGCCAATCAGATGCAAAGGCCGGGGGAGGGGGGGTGAGTGTATGCATACAAATTGCAATGGATATCCATTACCAGTTGGGTTATTGGTCGTGAGAGCCTCGATTATGGATATTGGTCGCGAAAGTCTACGTGTTAAACTGAAAGCCTACGTGTTATACTACATAAAAGTGACTTTAAACACGAGGCATATGCAGCAAACCACCCTCCACACGACTCTACAATTCGTCGCAGTCAGAAGGGTCAGCATGCGACTCAAGAATCAATAATTTTTTTGTCTCATTCGCTCCGTCTAGCATTGTCCCTCTGGCTTTGGCCTGTGTCCGACCGACCCTTCCTGTCAAAAAACACTCCAACAATTGTGATGCAGCGGCTTATCTCGTCACATCGCCACACGCAACCCTCGACATCCAAACCAATCCGGCTTCCACATCAAACGGCCCAAATACGGAAAACAGACTATGCACTACGGGACATGAATAACGCCACATCCACTGCAGCAGCATCATCATCAGCTCCCTGTTAACATACACAGCAATACACAACCAAGCTCCTGTAACTTACAGCAGAAACCTCATGCAGATCACTTTGCCTGACCACCAACAACTAAACACACATTTGCAGCACCACAGCCTCTGGAACAAGCTCCCCAAGGCAATTACATTCACTCGACTCCATCGCTACATTCACAGTCAAACTCAACAACGCAGGTCTTTTGGACTTGCATGCAAAAATACAGACGCAACTTGTTTTTATTTTTATATTATAAACTGTAAAGAATGGCCTACGTTTATATCTAAGTATTAATGTGATGATGGCGCTTTGGCTGAAAGATGTGCCAGAAAGCCACCACAATAATAACATTTATTTGACTATCAGTCTTGCTTTGCAAACCTCAACATAACATACAACCTACGTGGCTTTGTAAAAATTGCTTCGTACACGAATGGTGCATGTGTCATGAATGTAAGAACCCATTTTAAATGGGGCTTCCGTGCGGTAAAGCTCCGTGTGAGGATCGCTGATTCCGCTGAAGAGATGCAAATCCACAGCCCCCCTGCCAGAGAGGGGGGAACCGCTCACCTCTCCCGGTGGAGCCTCCTTGCGCAGGCCCTGCTTCTGTCCTTCCTTGTTGTACTTGGCAAGCTGATGCTCGTTAAACGCGGGGAACTTCTCCACCAGCGCACGGCGCAGGCACGCCGGCAACGACAGGCGCTCCCGCGTGCTCAACAGCGACTGCCACGCGCGCGTCACCAGGCAGCGAGAACGCAGAGCCCACGATGCGACAAGGCAGACGGGGACATGGCACACGCGGCGACCAGAATCGTGCACACGCAAATGCCTTATTGCACGGGTTTGGCGCACAGAAACAAAATCTTCAATCATTAAATGTAGCAAATCTGATGGCGGTGCAGGTCCCGTTACGAGCAGGTCACAGAGAGCGCCGGCTCAAGGAGAGATAAACTAATCGTAACCATGCCCACAAACGTGGCTCTCGAGCAGGGGCCAAGGCGAACGGTGCCGTGGAGTTCGGAGGTCATCCTGAGTGGCTGTGCCGCTTGAGGGCGACTGCAGTGTCGTGGTTTTTACCGAGACGGCGGTGATTGCCGAGAGCACTGCGAGGTTACATTATGTAAATGTGGATTATTATTTTGGTGCTCAACACAGGCACAAAGGCCACAACATCAAACGGCTAGCAATAAGCAGCACTTGCAAAGTTGTCATAGGTAGGATTTAACACGTGTCCTGCATTGAGTTAGGTTATGTTTGTAAGAGTTTGGGGGGAAAGAGACGATGGGAGGGAATACCAAAGAGGAGAGGTGCGCATGGAAGTAGCAGAGAGAGAAGTGTTGTCACCTGGAGTGTGGCGAGTGAGTGAGGGAGAGGGCGAGTTCGGGAGCGAGTGAGTGTGTGCACGTGTGAGTGTGGGGAGCGGTAGTGTAGCGGTTAGCGCGCTGCACTATGAACCTGGCAACCCGGGTTCGATTCCCGCTCACGGCTAACACCCAGTGACGATTATCTGAACCGGTGTCCTGGGCCTCCCCTAGGTCGACTCAGCCTCAAATGACAAAGGTGGTCAGGCGTGGTGCTGGCCACCCACCCCCTCGTGTACCGTTCCGGCCTTCATAGGTGCTCGCTAACAGCACTTGCCCCTACAGTCTGTTAAGGCTATACAGGGGATCTTTGTCTCTTTGTGAGCGGGTGAGTCAGTGAGAGAGAGCGTGAGTGAGTTAGAGCATGCATTTGTGAGTGAGCGGGTGAGTCAGTGAGTGCGAGCGGGCGGGTGGGCTGAGTGTATTGTTGTGATGAACACAGAGACGTGGGGAGCGGCGCACCTTGTAGGTGGTGGCCACATCCAGCCAATCGGAAGGCAGCACGACCGCCGCGGAGAAGTAGCGCACGAGGTGGGGGCGGCAGGGGGGCAGCTGCGCCGCCAGGGCCAGCAGAACGTTTGACGTCTTCCTGATGCCCAGCTCTCGGCGGGAATAAAGCGCCACCTGCACAACCGCGCGGCCAACCGACCGCACTCAGCAGTGATGTTGCTCTGCGTGGTAGCGCGCAGAAAACAGCCGCCGCACGTCGATATATGAAACATTCATATGCAATTTGTGTTGTTTAAAAGTTAGAAGGCAGTTCGTGATTGTGACATATTTTATACAATTATAGCTCAAGTGATTTACTGCTCAAATGAGCATTTAGGCATTGGTACTCATCTCCTGTTTACAGGCCTGGACCAGAGGTGGAAACTCCACATTCCTGTGGTAGGGGCAAGGCTATCCACAGATCAACCCCTGCTGATATCCCACAAAATGGTACTCAACCGATGACCAGGATTTGAACTCGCACACTCCAGGTTGTGAGCCATTCGCTCTTCCGCTGAGCGACCTGGCCGGGCGTGGTGCTTGCGAGGTCACGGTGCGTCCCACCGCTTGTGGTGGATGTGCCGCAGGCACGGCTGAGATCAATAAGCAAGGAGATCGATTCCCGGGGAGGTTCTCAAACACGGCGGATTTGCACTGAAACAGCGCAACGGCACAGCGCGAGAGAGAGCTTCACGCACCATACCTCACCTTGAGGACAAACTCGGGCTCGGTCTGGGCCAACTCCTTCATGATAGAAAAGAGCGTCGCACAGGTAGAGCCCTCCGTGAGGTCAGGGGTCAGCCCTCCCACCAGCGACACGCTCACGGCGCTCAGCAAGCCCTTCTGCAGAGCGCACGCCGCACGCACGCACGCGACGCGTCAGGAAGGAGCGGGTAACACCACGGCAACCGCTCCGTGGCCCGGACCACCATACGACAACCACAACAATAACGCTTTAGCCAATATCAGCCCATGGGTCACGTGCGCCAATGTTTTTGAGCAAGTGAACATGCTCATGAATGCATTACCATGATTATTATTCAACAATTCATCGTCATAATAAGCAGCAGCAATATAACATAGTACTGTACTGGATGATGTTGATGAGGATTATGACACCTTAGATCAAACCTTCTACAACTGTGTACAATAAATGTACTCGGAACAAAAACGTCAGCCCTCGGTAAAATTCAAGTTCAAGGTGCTCCTCCTTAACTTCTCCTCAAGCTGAATCTCTGGCATCATCATCGTCATCATCATCATCGTCATCATCGTAATCATCATCATCGTCGTCATCATCGTCATCGTCATCATTGTCATCGTCATCATTGTCATCGTCATCATCGTCATCATCATCGTCATCATCATCATCATCATCGTCGTCGTTATCATCGTCATCATCATCGTCGTCATCATCGTCATCATCATCATCGTCATCATCATCATCATCGTCATCGTCATCATCATCGTCATCATTATCGTCGTCATCATCGTCATCATCGTAATCATCATCATCGTCGTCATCATCGTCATCGTCATCATCGTCATCGTCATCATCGTCATCATCATCGTCATCATCATCGTCATCATCATCATCATCATCGTCGTCGTTATCATCGTCATCATCATCGTCGTCATCGTCGTCATCATCGTCATCATCGTCATTGTGATCGTTGTCATCGTCATCATCATCATCATCGTTGTTCACAGGCTCTGCTTCCCACACATCTCTCAACTGAGCTCCCACCTCGACCTTTCGACATCTCTGACCCCTCCTCTCGCTCCGCTTCTGCACCCCTCGTTCCTGCCCCCAGCATCCCAACTCCATTCCGTGGCCGCCGTATCCACGACCAATTACTCAGTTGGAGGATTCTGCTCCTCATTTGCTGCCACCAAGACCAGTTCTCATCCAGGCTCAACTTTCCTTCTTTGCCTTTCACCACGACCAACCGACTCTCTGATTTGTTTCATAATTGTAGGGTTAAGCCATGTAATGATGTGGCCAAATCTCTGTTGTGAGACCTTCCTCTGCTCAACACATACAAACAAATGCTAATCGTCGCTCAGTACAAGAGGTTAACGTGCCAAATCTTATCGTTTCAGCTTGCTTGTGAGATTAAGAACAATTACACAACCAAATTTAACGATCAGATTTCTGGCATTTCCCTTTTTCAGGAAAAGTTAAGAAGTCAGAATGATGTCCAGGAAGTAAAAATATCCGTATTACCTGACCTCACAGGAATAACCAATCCGATTTAAACTAGATTTTATTTGAATCATTCCCATTTCCTCATCACACTACCCACCCGACCCCTGCCCCCACAGTCCCCTTCCTTGTGCAGTGCCCCTCGAGATCGCCTCCCGACCCATTCATTGCAAGGGGACAGGCTTTGCCTTCTGGGGCAGAGTGGTGTCCACAAGTCGAGCAGGTGCCAGAAGTGGCGCCCACTCATCCTCGCCGGGCGACCCTTCCTCCGGCTTGTCCTCCTCGCCCCAACCTTCCAGGGCCAGCGTGAAGCTCTGCTCCATCCACGTGTGGCCCTGAGCACGTGCCACACACACACACGTGGCATGCGTCATATAATCAAAATCATCACGCCCGCGAAAAAAAAAGATACGCACGCAGCCCGCTGCATGTGTCAACAACAAAGATCCCCCGTGTAGCCTTAACAGACTGTAGGGTCAAGTGCTGTTAGCGAGCACTTATGAAGCCCGGAACGGTACACGAGGGGGTGGGTGGCCAGCACCACGCCCGACCGCCTTTGTCTCCCCAGTGGCGATGTTGACACACCGCACCACGTACTCATTCCAGGCTGAGTCGACCTAGGGGAGGCCCAGGACCGGTTCAGATAATCGTCACTGGTGTTGGCCGTGAGCGGGAATCGAGCCCGGGTCGCCGGGTTCCACGACACTTCCGCTCCCCAACACACACACGCCCGGGGCAACTCCCGCTCGCTGCGATCACACTCCTTGTGTAGTCCACTGGGCAGGTGATGCACTTTCACTTTCCTGCTCAGTGGTAAAACTCAACTCCAGCCACTCTCAACCCACCAATGGATGTAGGCCTCCACATGCCACGTCGGTCATGGGAAGATTTTGACCATACTTCACCATGCTGGTCAGTGTGGGTCGGTAAAGTGTGAGAGGGGGGGGCAGCACTGGTTTTAATATAATTTGCCACTGATGTTAGCCGTGACTGGGAATCGAACTTTGCTTGCCAGGTTCGTAGAACACAGTGCGCCACCACTCCACAACTTCCAAGACCTTCTTGGTTCTTTCGGTAAAGTCACGTAGAATGGAAATAAAAAAACATAATAAAATAATTCTCACGACAGAGTCTGAATGAGTCATTCAGACTCTGTCTCCTCGACAGATCTGTTCTCCACCTGAGGACGGCAGCTTGCGTTGTGGCCGAAACGTCGTGAGAATTATTTTATGACGTTTTTATTTTTTTTATTTTTATTTTATTATTTCCATTCTACGTGACTTTACCGAAAGAACCAAGAAGATGAATCCCTGCAGTCACGAAAGCTTTAAATCGAAACTTTCAAGACGCCCTCGTTGGCCAGAGCGACAGAGCCTTGCCCCATCGCTTGGGTGGCACCAGAGCCTGCCGTGTGGCCCGTTATCCACGGTGCCCACGGCCACCAATCACCCCCTCGCATCTGATCAGATCCACATTCGATCCCGAGCCGATCGCATTTGCATTTCTAAGATAACGCGACAGTTACATATCACTCTTTGGGTTCTTTCGGTAAAAAATATCAACCATTGGGCATTCCAGACGAGTGTTTAAAGCAGAGCAAACTTATTTTAAGCCAAACCCTACGTCGACTTTGACCTTTTCGAGTCTCAACTTGCAGGGTGGTGTGTGCCGCCCAACTGACAAAAGCCACTCGGATTCCATTTGGTGTTGTCGGTAAGAATCCTCCACAAGCATCACAAGTAATACAAAATAATTCTCCCCGCAAATTGGTCCCATCACATCAGGTGTTGCAACCAAAGACAATGCACACAGAGTCGCTCGCCAGGTTTGCTCTGTGCCCCCTCGCTGCCGGAACGAAACCCCAAAGGCACGGGCGTTCCTCACGCCTCCTAGAATGCCTCCTAGAACGCCTCCGAGTACTGTACGACGTGCTGTAGGGCCATTTGGACGGCCCACGTCCGTGACCGAGACCCGGGCACTGTCACGAGCCCGGGCCCTTCTCGTCGTAACTGCTGCTGAGATGAGGAGGGGCGCGTCGTACACACGGCCCAGGGACGTGCGGTCAGGGGAGGCAGGGGAGGCAGAGCCTCACCTATCATACTCCAATGAAAATAGCTGTTACGAAATGTAAAAAAATAAGAATCAAATCGAATAAAGAATTTTCCACTGATCTGTGTTATGTCATTTCTGTACGATTCCAATCATTTTTAGAGTCAAAATCGCAAAATTTGCGGAGCTCCGCTGCAAATACAGGAAGAGACGAGTGGTGAGGCAGCGACAAGCTCAGCCTCCCCTCTGATTGCGCAACCCCTCAGTAACTGGATGGAGCGCGGGCAATAAGCGCGTGCCTGTTACTATCTCAGTATGTCATCAATGTAATGTTTGTAGACCCCTTCATGTCATGTCCTCGCCTTCCATACTCCAGGAAACTTATTTCACGTGCGTGTATAAAGATATTTAGGCTCGCTGGTCTCGTCATAAAAACTGCAATGAAAAAGCACCAGGGGAGGCAGCTATCACATCTGCCTCACCGAGGGGGATGTGTCTAACACGCCCCCCTCCGCGAGGCCACGCCCCCTCAGTGAGGACACGCCCCCACCGTGAGGCCACGCCCCCCAGTGTGTGAATCTGGCTCTGACACTAACCAGTGCCTCCCCAGCCATTGACCTGAGCACACATCACACTCACGGCGAGAGGTGCGACGTCGTCGGTGTTTTCGCCGGAGCCAGCGCTGGCCAGGTCCTGCGCGATGCCCTCTTGACGAACTTGCCACGGCATCTCAGCTGAGCTGGGCGCCTTCTGCTTCGTCAAACTTAAAGCTCCCGATGGGAACGTTGATGCGGCAACGCCTTTGCTGCTCCCGCTTATGATTTGATGCCCAGCGTAGCGGAGAAGAATTGTATTAATCAGGTCTTCACTTGAGGTTTCATGAACCATTTTGAGACTTTTCAGGGCCTTGCTATCTTCATATTCCTTCAGTATCTTGTTCTCTACATTGACGGCGGGATACAGCGTCTGAGGCTGCAGCAGCAGCGGCGACGGCTGGTGGGGACGGGCGGCCGTATCGGTGGCACAGAGAGACAGACGCATCGTGGCAGCGGTTGCCTGGGCCAGGATGCGGTTGTGTTCTGTGTGGATGGACCTGTGCCCCAGGATACCCTGCTGCTGTTGGCTGGTTGTGCACCCACTGCCCGGGGCTGTGACGCTGTGGCCGAGCGTGGACAGAAGGCTGCAGCTGTTCGGCGTCATCCTCGAGGCCTGCGCGTTGGCGGCTGCGGTGGCGTGCGGGGCGTCCTCCTCATCCTTGCCCATGGCTCACGGCGGACACCTGGAGGGGCACGCAGCAGCGAGACAAGTGGAGAATCACGCTCACGGGGCACTGTGTCACGTGTCACCGTGTCACGTGTCACGTGTCACTGTGTCACCGTGTGACTGTGTCACAGTCACTGTGTCACGTGTCACTGTGTCACGCAGCAGCGAGACAAGTGGAGAATCACGCTCACGGGGCACTGTGTCACCGTGTCACCGTGTCACGTGTCACGTGTCACTGTGTCACCGTGTGACTGTGTCACGTGTCACTGTGTCACAGTCACTGTGTCACGTGTCACTGTGTCACGCAGCAGCGAGACAAGTGGAGAATCACGCTCACGGGGCACTGTGTCACCGTGTCACCGTGTCACGTGTCACGTGTCACTGTGTCACCGTGTGACTGTGTCACGTGTCACTGTGTCACAGTCACTGTGTCACGTGTCACTGTGTCACGCAGCAGCGAGACAAGTGGAGAATCACGCTCACGGGGCACTGTGTCACGTGTCACCGTGTCACGTGTCACTGTGTCACCGTGTGACTGTGTCACGTGTCACTGTGTCACAGTCACTGTGTCACGTGTCACTGTGTCACGCAGCAGCGAGACAAGTGGAGAATCACGCTCACGGGGCACTGTGTCACCGTGTCACCGTGTCAAGTGTCACTGTGTCACATGTCACTGTGTCACTGTGTCACAGTCACTGTGTCACGTGTCACTGTGTCACTACTCACTGTGACACAGTGTCACGTGTCACTGTGTCACTACTCACTGTGACACAGTCACTGTGTCACGTGTCACTGTGTCACTGTTTCACGTGTCACCGTGTCACGTGTCACTGTGTCACTGTGTCACTGTCACAGTCACTGTGTCACGTGTCACTGTGTCACGTGTCACTGTATCACAGTCACTGTGTCACGTGTCACTGTGTCACTGTGTCACGTGTCACTGTGTCACTGTGTCACGTATCACTGTGTCACTGTGTCACTGTGTCACGCAGCAGCGAGACACGTGGAGAATCACGCTCACGGGGCAATGCAACGTCTCACAACGGCACAGGGGCTCACTGTGTCACTGTGTCACTCACTCACTGTGTCACTGTGTCACTCACTGTGTCACGTGTCACTGTGTCACTCACTCACTGTGTCACTGTGTCACTGTCACTGTGTCACTGTGTCACTCACTCACTGTGTCACGTGTCACTGTGTCACTCACTCACTGTGTCACTGTTTGTCGCCGTGTCACTGTGCCACTGTGTCACGTGTCACCGTGTCACTGTGTCACCGTGTCACTACTCACTGTGTCACCGTGTCACTGTGTCACCGTGTCACTGTGTCACTACTCACTGTGTCACTGTGTCACCGTGTCACTGTGTCACTCTCACTGTGTCACGTGTCACTGTGTCACATGTCAGTGTGTCACCATGTCACTGTGTCACGTGTCACTCTCACTGTGTCACTGTATAACTGTGTCACTGTATAACTGTGTCACTCACTCACTGTATAACTGTATAACTGTGTCACTGCTCACGGTGTCACTGTGTCACTACTCACTGTGTCACTGTCACTACTCACTGTGTCACTACTCACTGTATAACTATCACTGTGTCACTGCTCACGGTGTCACTGTGTCACTACTCACTGTGTCACGTGTCACTCTCACTGTGTCACTGTATAACTGTGTCACTGTGTCACTCACTCACTGTATAACTGTATAACTGTGTCACTGTGTCACTGCTCACGGTGTCACTGTGTCACTAGTCACTGTATAACTGTGTCACGTGTCACTGTGTCACTGTATAACTGTGTCACTGTGTCACTGCTCACGGTGTCACTGTGTCACTACTCACTGTGTCACTACTCACTGTATAACTGTGTCACTGTATAACTGTGTCACTACTCACTGTCTCAATGTATAACTGTATAACTGTGTCACTGTGTCACTACTCACTGTGTCACTACTCACTGTGTCACTGTGTCACTACTCACTGTGTCACTGTGTCACTACTCACTGTATAACTGTGTCACTACTCACTGTGTCACTACTCACTGTATAACTGTGTCACTACTCACGGTGTCACGTGTCACTGTGTCACTGCTCACGGTGTCACTGTGTCACTACTCACTGTGTCACTGCTCACGGTGTCACTGTGTCACTACTCACTGTGTCACTGTGTCACTACTCACTGTATAACTGTGTCACTGTGTCACGTGTCACTGTGTCACTACTCACTGTGTCACGGTGTCACTCACTCACTGTGTCACTCACTCACTGTGTCACTGTGTCACTCACTCACTGTGTCACCGTGTCACTCACTCACTGTGTCACCGTGTCACTCACTCACTGTGTCACTGTGTCACTTACTCACTGTGTCACTGTGTCACTCACTCACTGTGTCACCGTGTCACTCACTCACTGTGTCACCGTGTCACTCACTCACTGTGTCACCGTGTCACTCACTCACTGTGTCACCGTGTCACTCACTCACTGTGTCACCGTGTCACTCACTCACTGTGTCACCGTGTCACTCACTCACTGTGTCACTATGTCACTCACTCACTGTGTCACTGTGTCACTCACTCACTCACTGTGTCACTGTGTCACTACTCACTGTGTCACCGTGTCACTCACTCACTGTGTTACCGTGTCACTCACTCACTGTGTCACTATGTCACTCACTCACTGTGTCACTGTGTCACTCACTCACTGTGTCACTGTGTCACTACTCACTGTGTCACTGCTCACGGTGCCACTTTCTCCTTCTGAACTCTCGGCCCAGTCAGCGCGGATGCAGCGCCGCTTCCGTCTCGAGACGCGTGCGAGGAGCCCCGCCCCCAGCCCAGTGACCCCGCCCCCAGCCCAGTGACCCCGCCCCCAGCCCAGTGACCCCGCCCCCAGCCCAGTGACCCCGCCCCATGTTGATCTCGCCCCGCCCCCATGGTTCCCTCGCCCCGCCCCCATGTTGTCATCGCCCCACCCCCAGTCCAGTGGCCCCGCCCCCATGTTGCCCTCGCCCCGCCTCCAGTCCAGTGGCCCCGCCCACATGTTGCCCTCGCCCCGCCCCCAGTCCAGTGGCCCCGCCCCATGGTTCCCTCGCCCCGCCCCCAGCCCAGTGGCCCCGCCCCATGTTGCCCTCGCCCCGCCCCCAGCCCAGTGGCCCCGCCCCATGTTGCCCTCGCCCCGCCCCCAGCCCAGTGGCCCCGCCCCATGTTGCCCTCGCCCCGCCCCCAGCTCAGTGGCCCCGCCCCATGTTGCCCTCGCCCCGCCCCCAGCCCAGTGGCCCCGCCCCATGTTGCCCTCGCCCCGCCCCCAGCCCAGTGGCCCCGCCCCATGTTGCCCTCGCCCCGCCCCCATGTTGCCCTCGCCCCGCCCCCAGCCCACTGGCCCCGCCCTCATCGTGTGGCCCCGCCCCTCAGCGGCTTCGCCCCCCTACCCCGTGGCCCCGCCCCGTCACCCCCCTCCTATCACAGAATCAGAATCAAGTCAGAATCAGAATTTCGATTTAAAGCTTTCGTGACTGCAGGGATTCATCTTCTTGGTTCTTTCGGTAAAGTCACGTAGAATGGAAATAATAAAATAATACAAATAAAAAATAATAAAATTATTCTCACGACGTTTCGGCCACAACGCAAGCAGCCGTCCTCAGGTGGAGAACAGGTCTGTCAAGAAGACAGAGTCTGAATGACACGCCCCAGGCTTGGAGCGACTATTTAAGCTGCTGGGTTGGAGGGGCGAAGAGCGCCTTGACGAAATAATTTGCATATCAAGAGGAATGTAGCATATTTATGGCAAATACAGATATGCGATTAGTAGTACTTGTGAAATGCGTAGGAGGTTTGGCGAGGGGTTTAAAGTCATTATGCCCGTGCATTATATTATTTCCATTCTACGTGACTTTACCGAAAGAACCAAGAAGCAGAATCAGAATGTTGAGATTTCGACTGGTGGAGGAATTCGATGAGCTAAGAAGTGATTTTTCACAGATGTCCAGTAGGGGCGGGTGTCAGCGAGTGACATCAACAACAACAAAAACAAGAAAAACAATAGGAGTGCAACATCGAGAAAGGGTAAGCAAGGTCATGAAAATAAATGAAGAATACAATGTTGTGTGTCTCTGTGTTGTCTCTCTCTGCTTGTGTGTCTCTCTCTCTGTGTCTCTGTGTTGTCTTTTTGCTTGTGTGTCTGTGTGTCTCTGTGTTGTTTCTCTGCTTGTGTGTCTGTCTGTGTGTCTGTGTTGTGTCTCTCTCTCTGTGTGTCTGTGTGTGTGTGTCTCTGTGTTGTCTCTCTGCTTGTGTGTCTGTCTGTGTGTCTCCGTGTCTGTGTTTTGTCTCTCTCTGTGTGTCTCTCTCTGTGTGTCTCCGTGTCTGTGTTTTGTCTCTGATGATGATTGCTTGTGTTGCAATCGAAACGTCGTCTTCTATTATTTAATTTATTTTCTTTCAACGTGACTTTACCGAAAGAACCAAAGAGGATATAAGTAGACATTGCATAAGCACTGTTGCATGGACGTACGTACACACTGGACATACATGACCCCGGAGTATCACTCTGCACCCCCCTTCCGCTATAAAATAGTTGTATGTTTATATGATTGTGGTTATGGTTGTACTTTATTAATCCATAATCTCTGCCATTACATACAATGAAACAAGACAAGGTAAAAAAGAAAAAAACAGAGCAATGTAATACAATACACTAATAGACATTATTGTAAAAAATTAATAAAAAGTCCATCCCATGTGCTAGTGAATTTTGAAATATTTTAGGCAGGAAATGAGTTTTCAAATTTAGATTTTTTTTCTGGGGGGGGGGGACGACCCCCAGACCCCCTGGAAGATTTGGTCCCCCCCAATGTTGACTCCATGGCTACGGCCTTGCTACAGGCTACAGACAGAGAGGAGACGCCGGTATCGTTACTCCGCATGCGCTGTGTTTGAACCTGGGTGCTGACCGAGTGCCACCTGCAGCTGTTGAACCCACGGGAGGCAAATACACAAATGCACACGCACGGCTCGTGTTTCGGAGTAAATACTCAAACAACGGGAATTGTACGTCTACTTTCCTGAATGTTCCCTTCGACCCTATGGGGCCGTCCATAGATGACGTCACGCGATTTTGGACGATTTTTGACCCCCCCCCCTCTTCGTCACACGGCGTCACAAAAAGTCAGACCCCCGCCCCCTCAAATATGACGTCACAAAGCTCTGCCCCCCCTCCTAAATAAAACATGCTTCAAATCGCTTTGTGATTGTAGTGCGTATTTAATGTGGCGCTGCACTCTGATGTTGTAGGAGAAAACATTTATTAAAAAGTCTATTGAATTAAGTAGAATGTGTCGCCTATATTTAAAGTTGCGAATTTTGATGTGACGTCACATTTCTCAAACCCCCTCTCCTCACACATCGTCACAAATGTCTGACCCCCTCCCCCCAGGTGCGTGACGTCATTTATGGACGGCCCCTATCTCCAGGGGCTAAATTTGTCAACCAACGTTGGGAAAGGGAGCAGTTTTTTCCCTCTCGATCGAACAGCTTTTAAAAAAAGTTGTCCAATTTGTTTTTAAGCGTGAACAACACGACATTGAAATCAAAACTGTACAGGAATGTGTGTGTTGGTGTTATCGGAGGGATCAACATCGATGTGCCTGAAACCAAAACTTAGACGTTAAAGATGCATCGACGTTTTTTTCTTTCCCATCCAAACCATCTAAGCAACCAACGAGCACAACTTGCAATGGTTGAGATCAAACAGGAGACTGAACGAGGCTTTATTCACATGTGTAGAGGTGTTCCGTAACGGGGAGAAACGGGCAGTTACACTGGGGTGTCTACATCCACGTCCGCAAACGGTCACCACCCTGGGGGGCTGTGTGGGGGGGAGGCTGGGATCCCACACAGCCCCGCCCCTCGAGGGCATGTTGGTATATAAGGCGGAGGAGAGCGAGAGAGCTCGAGGCAGTCGCTGGGTACAGATCAAGATGAAGAGCCAGTGAAGACTGAAGGCCAGCTAGCTAGACCTGGAACTACCCTGACTCGCTGTTCTTGTAAGAGCCGAGCAGGGCAAGCCAGTGGGCGACCTCAGGGCAGCGAGGTCCGATATCCTTGTAAGGGCCAGACTCGTGTGGCTGAGGGTCGGAACCTGCACCGTAGCTGGGCCAGGTTAGCTCGCCTACATTTGGGGAAGGTCTGGGATAGAGGGGAGTAGGGAGTTAACGGGGAGCGTTAGCTGGGGAACACTTCCTCTAATAGACCGGGTGAAGAGGCCGATACCTCTTCTAGTGTTAGAGTCGTTACTCTGATGTATTGAATTTATTTGTAATAAATACGTGTTGCCTCCATCAACTTCTCCTGCGTCACATACGCTCGTTACACATGTAAACTTTGATGCAAAAATCTCAACGCACCAGAAATCCGGATAATCGTGCCTTCACATCATTCATAGCGCTGCCCTCACTTTTGCTTGGGGGCCGTCCATAAATGACGTCACGCGATTTTGGACGATGTTTGACCTTCCTCCCTCGTCACATGGCGTCACAAAAAGTCAGACCCCCCTCAAATATGACGTCACAAAGCTCTGTCCTCCCCCCCAAAATAAATACACATGCTTCAAATCGCTTTAAACTATTGTCATTGTAGTGCCTATTTAATGTGGCGCTGCACTCTGATATTGTAGGAGAAAACATTTATTAAAAAGTCTATTTAATTAAGTAGAACGTGTTGTTTATATTTATTTAAAGTTGCGCATTTTGATGTGACGTCACATTTCTCAAACCCCCGCCCCTCTCGTCACACATCGTCACAAATTCTAGATTTGAAGCTTTCGTGACTGCAAGGATTCATATTCTTAGGTTTTTTCGGTAAAGTCACGTAGGTAAAACATTAAAATTAATAAAAGTAAAATAAAATAAAAATCTCTTCAACCATTATATATACGAAGTGGTAGCTCTTGTAATCTCTCATTTACGTGATACAGTTGTCGTGGCTGTGAAGGTTCCACCTGAAGACGGAAGCTTGTGTTGCCTCCGAAAAGTCGTGATTTTTATTTTATTTTACTTTTATTAATTTAAATTTTTTACTTACGTGACTTTACCGAAAAAAACCTAAGAATATAATCGTCACAAATGTCTGACCCCACCCCCCTAAGTGCGTGACGTCATTTATGGACGGCCCTTTGGGATACACGCCCAGGCTTGAGCAGAGTCGTGATGTCGGTACCAACCGGGCTGAGTCAATGCCGTGGGATGCGGGGGACTTCACCGACGGTGTCGTCATCACGGCGTCGTGAAACCCCGTTAGGTGACGTCACTGCGACGAGGCTGTAGGCGTGGCTTAAGGGACTATGACGCCATTCGTTTAACATCGCATTTACATATACACAGATGGAGAAAGCCATCTTTTCCGGAAGATTTTGGTTTGTATTTGATGGCATTTTTCTAAATGTGTTAATCATAAAAGGTGGCAATTTTGTGGGAATGTCCTCAGCAAGGGAAACAGTTTTGTTTTCATGGTTTTTTCTCGTACAACATCCCTGTCAACCCCTTATCAGTGCCCTACGTTATTACAAACCAATTCGGACCTTATTGGTCACCCGGTGCCCTTATAAATCTCAACGGTCATCCTACAAAGTGCCATCACAAGGGAAAAACACAATCAAATATAATTTTTTTTGCTCGTATTGAAACGGCTGTATGCCGTATGGACCTGAAAACTCAATTTCCCTGTACAAGAATACGGGATAAACCGTATGGGTTGACAGCTATGGACTAACCGTGTGCGAGGTACAGAGCATGACGGACGCACACTGGCGCATCATACAGCCCAGAGCGACAGCCAGCAAGAGGTGGGAGCCAGGCCCACTAAGCGAGGCAAGAACAGATCTAGGTAAGCATTCATCACTTAAGGTCCAAGAATATTCAAATATTATTGTGACATGAAAACTCAATAAATTCGTCAATAACCCTGCTCTGAAAAATACAAAATGTGACATTCGACGTTTCGGCCAATGACCCTTCTTCATGAAGAATTGTGCTTGTTTACCACTGCCAATGCAGCATCACCAATTCATGTTTTATTATGACATGGGGCAGCATCGGCGACGCAGTCAATCCCGTTATAGATCCCGCGACGTAGTAAGTAGGTGTGAGCGGAAAGTCCACACGAGTCGTCCTACTAAGGGAACTCTCTCGTTCCAATAACACCGACACGAGTACTTGTAGGGCATGAATGTGGTTGTTGACCTTTTCTTCCCCAGAGACCTGAGCCTTCCACTCCCACCCCATGATATACCCTCTCCCCTCCTCTCCTCTCCTCTTTCCCGACAATATGTATCTCTTTGGGTTTTCCCCCAAACCCCTATTCCCAGTTTCGTAACTTCCTTGCCTGCACCCTTCTCTAAATATTTCTATGGGCATGGCCCCTTGTCCTTTGTGTGCCCACGCATGAAATCTACAGATTTAATAATAATTATAGTCCCCTGGACGGTACAACTATCAGTGCTTGAGCATCACGGCCGTTGCGGTCACTGCGCCTATAAATACAAGCGCGGACACCCCACACAGAGTTACGGGCAGGGTGAGAGGGCAGGAGTGGTGCACAACGCCTTCTCCAGTGGAAGCATTGTTATGACGTTCCCATGTAGCCTGTGTCGCCTGCGTCGTCTGCGTCGTCTTCGTCATCTGCGTCGTCTGCGTCGTCTTCGTCGTCTGCGTTGTCTGCAGCATCACACGTGCACACAACGACCAGACGTTACTGGAGGCGGAAGCTGCCCCCTACAAGGTAAAATCATCTTACACTATGAGACCTCCTTTACCAGTGTCAAAATATAGTAGTAGGTTTTTACCCTTTAAACTGCTACAAAAACTGACACCTTTATACAAGGCATCATGTTTGCAATAACCCCAACACAAGCAGTCAAAATGCAAACAAAAAGAAACAACTCTGATGATGATAATTATAGGCACTGTCCTTGAAGTTGATTGGTCACACCCGAGACAGCTTTTCTTAGAGCCTAGTCTCCATTGGTGTTGGACCAGATGACGCCAAAAGGAGTACAACTCAAAAACAGCGCACTATCAGAGTATTGAGAGCTCGGGGTAAGCATTTACACTATGAGACCTCCTTTACCAGTGGCAAAATATAGTAGTAGGTTTTTACCCTTTAAACTGGTACAAAAACATCAAGGACAGTGCATATAATTATCATCATCAGAGTTGTTTCTTTTTGTTTGCATTTTGACTGCTTGTGTTGTGGTTATTGCAAACATGATCCCTTGTATAAAGGTGTCAGTTGTTGTACCAGTTTAAAGGGTAAAAACCTACTACTATACTAAAATCATCTTCTTGGTTCTTTCGGTAAAGTCACGTAGAAGGGAAATAAATAAAAAATATAAAAATATAAAACAATAAAAATTATCACGATGTTTCGACTGCAACACAAGCAATCATCATCAGGTGTGAAATCCACAGACAGAAAATTTGAAAAAAGTGGCGGTTTTTCCTAACGTCAGCACCACAGAGCGATTTGGCAGTTGGCCAGATGGACAAGTCCATCTACGTGACTTTACCGAAAGAACCAAGAATATGAATCCCTGCAGTCACGAAAGCTTTAAATCAAAAGGTAAAATCAATCGCAATCTCCACGGTGCCCAACTGATCGCGACAATGCGATGGTGCATCACTGGAGCCCCCAAATCGACCCCAAACTTTTGCCTCCCCGTGTTGCCGCACGTTGCTTCCCCATCTATTTGCCGCAATGCCGCAACCCCCCGGGAAGTCCAGCAAATCGTGGAGAACGTGCGTCTCCCCATCCAACAGGATCTCAACGATGTCCTCGAGATGCGGGTGAAGAGCCCCGCCCCATGTGCCCCCCCCCACCGTTCCCAGTCCTGTGGCCCCGCCCGTAGCCCAGTGGCCCCACCCCCAGCCCCCTCGTCCTGTTTTGGATCCACGTGGTTAACCATCAACAATGCAACGTCAACCCCGATGATGATGAAGCTTGGAACACCAAATGGAGTTCACAAGAAGTCACAAATACCTCCTCGTGAAACAGCCGATGACGCAAAACTTCTGGGCAAACGGCCCCTAAAATGCATCCACTGCACAAACCACGGCAGCAGATTCGGACACTCGATGCATATGTAGAGGTGTAATTGTGCATGGCCACGGATGTTGAGGTGTAATTGTGCATGGCCACGGATGGCCAACAAACACAAGGGGCGGGGTTACGGCCGTACACAAGGGTGGCGCTCGCACCGACGTCCGCACCTGCATCCCCCACGGCCCCCCCCCGGGGGCCGAGTCCTATAAAAGGTGATGAGCCGGAGGGCTCGAGGTGGGAACTCAGCTTTAACCAGAGAAGAAGGAAGATCTACTAGAATAGGCCCCAGAGCTCCCCTGGCTCGCTGTCCTTATAAGGGCCGACCAGGGCAAGCCGGTGGCGTGGCCCCGAGAGCCCAGACTGACAAGCTGGTCTGGAGACTCAGGGAGCCGGGATCCCAGCTTGACCAGGGCTGGGATAGATAGCCTCCCCTAGCTCCGTAGTGGAGGAATTGGGCATAGGTTAGCGGGGTTAGCTGTCGTGTATCCCTGTAGCCAAGTGACCCGTAATTACTGTGTGTGCACAAGTTGGTGTAATAAACAAGTGTGCCTCCGATCCTGTCGTCAAGCCTCCTATATACTTACTACACATAAGTGGAAAATGTTCAACTCTCCGGCAGTGTGCGGTGACCGTGGTCACCACCCAGAACAGAACCGTGGAGCGTGTAGCGTAGAGTCAATGCCCGATTGCCAATCACGAAGGAAGCGGGCATCATCACAGCGATTTGCATCGCTACTCCTGGCGCAATCAGCTGGCTTGCCTGGCTCAATGTATACATTGTAGTTCATCTTTTTTCAGTAAAGTCACGTAGAAGGGAAGTAATAAAATAATAAAAATAAAACATAACAAAATAATTCTCACGACGTTTCGGCCACAACGCAAGTAGCCGTCCTCAGGTGAAACCAGGTCTGTATTTACCGAAAAAACCAAGAAGATGAATCCCTGCAGTCACGAAAGCTTTAAATCGAAATTTATAATTGTAGTTGTTGCTCAACATTGGCCACACGAAGGAGGAGACCTCGTAGCCCTGTGCCAGCTGCCGAGCGTCGAACTACATGCGCCAATTGTCTCGCTGGGGGACCACGCCAAATGTGCTCTTTAGCATTCACATCGCTCAAATTAGAACGGTGAGACTGGCCAAGAGATCATGGTTCATTTGATCTGGTTTAACACCTAGGCTTTCGCGATCAATATAATCCATAATACAGGTTAGATCGCGTAAATATAGAAATGTGTCGTTAAACCCGCCACCACCTGACACAGCCAATTAGTAAGGTTTGTCACGTAAACAGAACGTGTACATTCGTTACTAGTACAGCACACCAGTGTGTTGGAGAGCAAAGCCACAACATTTACAATCTGAGTACGACGTTTCTCCAGTAACTACAACCAGCGTCATCAGGCGACAGCCAGATATGTGTAGAAATCCTCCCGTTTCGTTTCTTAAATAAAGGGGTAGATGTGATGACATCACTTATGAGCCCTTCTTGAGCCAAGTGGGGGGGGGGATTAATGAATGCATATAAATGACAATAGGAATCCATTGACGATTGGGTTATATATTCTTGGGTCTTTCGCTAAAGTCACGTAGATAGGTTCAAAGAAAAGAGCCTACGTGACTTTACCGAAAGACCCAAGAAAATGAATTCCTGCAGTCACGAAAGCTTTAAGTCAAGATTGGGTTATACTGGTAGGAACCTCCTGGTTACACCAGCCCACAGGGGATTATTGTGTCCGTCCGTCGTGCATCCAAAAATGGGAGGGGTGGGGCTGGGTGGAGAGGGGAGGGTGGGGAGGGGCTGGGTGGAGAGGGTGGGGAGGGGCTGAGTGGGGAGGGGAGGGTGGGGAGGGGCTGGGTGGGGAGGGTGGGGAGGGGCTGGGTGGGGGGTGGGAGGGGTGGGGCTGGGTGGGGAGAGGCTGGTCACCCCGTGGTGTCCTTATAAAACTCAACGTTTAATCTACTCACGCCGGCTTGTGTCCGCCCTCACAGTCGGCCATATTTGCGGAATACACCACGCCGCCGTTGACCCTGGCCATTGACCGAGCAACCCAACGTTCCTACCAGCTCCCTCCGCAGGAATGTGTTATATATGGTAATCAATGTACATTGAGCCAATTGTTCATGTACCTCCTGTCATTGTGTGCACGAAAATAGCATAACCTGTTGTCTGTTCAAGGGTAATCCCCATTGAAGTATGCTGACCTGTATGAGCATGCATTTAAACAATCTATTATTTGATGATTCGCTTCCAAGCAGCACGAAGTCTGTAGCTATCCGAAAGATTAAAATTATATTTATTTCTCTCAATTTAGATAGATTATCTAATTAGTCTTGGCCAGTCGTAACTAGTTTGGCACATAACTTCAACATTATCAAATCCAATTGATAAGCGGTAAACTGGTTCTTATTCATGAAAATAAGCGGTTAACTCCAGTTCTGATTTTTGGTTCAGCTCTCTGGTTAAGTCTGATCTCTTTGGCTAATTCACCGATTTTGGTCTCACTTGGCATGTTTACGTAGCAGGGCATTTGCAAATACACGTACCGTTGTGGTTGCTCTTCTCCTTGTGGGTACAATTCCACCTGGTGCAGAACAGGAACACAGCCCTTGTTGGGGACAAATCTTTACCACCGATGCACTGCATTGTGGCATCTCCACGTGCATAGATGTAGGGGTGAATTCGGTACTCTTCAAGGGTACAAGATGTCATTTTTCATATCGAATCTAAACAATGAAAGCAGTGCCGGTGATATTGTATTAATCTACATATCCTATACCTTTGATTAGCGGGGTTGGCTATATATGGTGCGAAAGAAGTTCTACATACGTACATACATATCACTTGTTAATTTTATCCAGGAGCTACTTTGTTTTTGAACATCTTAACACCTGTATTTATTCCAGAAACAGTAAAGCCTTTTCATAACTAAATATCTTGATACTGGCGAAATTGGTCCCCTCATCGTTAGCCTCTGACAAATTTGTCAAATGAGGCCACTCTAAATACTTGTGCTAGAATCTAAAATTACATGAAATCAGAATTGGCAAACAAAATACAGTAAAACCGTGGATTGCGAGTAACTTGGTCTGCGAGTGTGTTGCAAGACGAGCAAATTTTTTAAATAAATATTAATTTGATAAACGAGTGAGGTCTTGCAATACGAGTAGTACGTGTATACGCTTTGTCTGCCGAGCGTCACGTGATCACAACTGATACACGAGTGCTTCGATATACGAGTGCTTTGGATTACAAACACGTTTGCGGAACGATGTATGCTCGCAATCCAAGGTTTTACTGTAAAAAACAATGATGGATATCGATATTAATCAAAATGTTTAATCAAATTAATGAAATTAACACAATTATGCAATTGTACAATGTCTGGATTTAGCAAAACGCTTTCATCGATGCGACGGTTGTGTCGTGATAGACGCGGTGTCGCGTGGCTGTCATCGGGAGTAGAAGCGGCGTACCAGCAAGCACCGTCATCCGCACGCTCGCGTTGTCTTGCCGAGTGGGACTCCAGAGGCAGCAGAAGAAGACGCCTTCATCCGATGGGGAAACCTTCCAGATCTTCAGCGAGAAGTCACCGCTCTCAAACGCATGCAGATTCATGGCGATGCGATGTTTAAAGTGCGTCTTGTGCACGGCAAGCAAGCCGTACCCTGAGGCCTTCATGGCAATGAGCTCTTTCTTTCTGCTCAAGGTTCCCAGTGGCGTCCACAACCACCTCGCGACCCGCTTGTCGTTCTCCCGCTCGACATCTGGTGACTCGATCCAAACCGCGTTCGAAAAGTGGCACGGCAGAGAGATGTTCCATCCGACTCCCACCCTCTTGTCCAACACCTCTGTGGAAAGTGAATAGTGGCATGCAGTGAGGTTTGTGGCGATATTTCCCCACAGCTCTAATTGTGTCAATGTGTACAACTATTGTGTGTGCGTATACGGGTAAATCAAATATATCTTAAAATGACCTTCGACAGGGAGAATATCAAAGTTGCCACCTGGACTGGATCGACCAGGCGGTCTGGGAATTGGCATCGGTGTTCGGGTGGCAGGAATTTATTTTAACCCAAGATCTGCTACCAGTATTGCCGTGTTCTTGGTTCTTTCGGTACAGTCACGTAGAAGGGAAATAATACAATAATATAAATATAAAAAATACAAATTCTCACGACGTTTGAAATTGTCTTGCTGTGGATTTCACACCTGATGATTGCAGTCGAAACGTCGTGATTATTTTTATTGTTTTATATTAATATTATTTTATTATTTCCCTTCTACGTGACTTTACCGAAAGAACCAAGAATATTAATCCCTGCAGTCACGAAAGCTTTAAATCAAAATTTCAGTATTGCAGTGTTCAATTTTATTCTAAGGGACTGCACAGTGACCACATATGCTGAGAATATCCTAAAGCCAACAATGTTACATGCTCATTGGGAACATTTTCACAGCATTTCTGCTTAGTGATATATGCTATTCATACTATTAATGCTAATATATTGTGTTTTATAAATGACTGTTATTCAAATACTTTTACTCGTGCCAAATATGGTTTCACATGTTTTTGGAATGAGGCAGCCGATTGCATTCGATTTCAGGTTACAAACATCAACAGATTCCCCACCGCACGAGTGAAGCCGTTCGTCTGGTTTGAGCGAAGTGCCCATGTTTGGTGAGAAAGTGATACCAATCACTCAAGAATTTAGTTCAAAAAGATTGTTTTACCAAAAATTGAGGATTAAACCGCACGACTTTAATTTCGTTACAATAATACATAGCACATGTTGGTCTTGTTCGACAGATACCGCTATTAATCAACAGACATTACTATTAATCAACAGACATTACACACGGGAAAATAAGAGAATGCTGCGTATTTAATAGCCGTTAAAATCTCTTACTTTGCATCCGAAGCATGGCTGGAAGTGCGCAAAGAACCAGCAGAACTTTCCAGAACGCCATGGTCTGGGTCGCGCTTCTAATCACAGCCTCACACTGCGATTGCCAAGGCATTCTGGCTTTAAGGAAGTTGTGATCATTTGAGTTTCAACACGGATCGACTTATGCAAGCCTGACTCTGCTACACGTCTCATTGGATAAAAAAAAACTAGACATCCAAGTTTCCTCTTCTTGGTTCTTTCGGTAAAGTGACTTTACCGAAAGAACCAAGAAGATGAATCCCTGCAGTCACGAAAGCTTTAAATCGAAATCCAAGTTTCCCTTTGAGTAATAAGTTTCGCTATTTTACTGCTCTCTCAAGCTCGAAACTACTAAGACCGTCACTCTTAGTTTGTTATCCTTCCCGCAAACCTCCGATTAGCTTGGCCATAACAACTGTCGACAGTGGATTTATCCTGCGTTTCAATGAAGCCAGGAAAGCTTTACACACAGAGGAAAAAAGTGTTATTTAACCCCTTTAAAACATCCTTCAATCTCAATTGTTTTGGTGAATGAATTTGCATTTCACTGTGTATAATTGATATAACCTTACGTGCCAATTAGTCACCTAATGATGCCATAAAAATGATCGTGATGACCGTGTGCCCACGACGAGTAGCTGCTTGCGTAAGACTGATGGTAGTCCGCTTTGTGGGCAAGCCACTTCCTTATTACTCACGAACCTTCTGTAGTTATCTACTCACGAGCCACTCATGTTTTAGTGGATACACAAACAGCTTTGAGTTTCTCACATTCTGGACTTCAAAAGCAAAGACTCTCGTTTTTGCTGTCTGTGTGTTTCGCTGTGCACGTGTATATTATGTCTGTGTGTATGTGTGGCGTAGGAGTAGAAAACGTGGAGTTCTGAGAAGCGCTGAGGAAGCGGCAGTTATAACATGAGCTCCAGGACAGACAGGTTTCATGCCGAGACTTCTGCATTTACATTTCAAGTTTCGCTCGCAAGTATTTACGAAGGCTGGCATGGCACACGAGGGCCATAGCCAGCCACTTTTGTAATGTGTACACACTGTACCAGGCAGTGCCAGGTTTAACTAGTGCGAGGTCTGTAGCATATATTATAAAGGAGCCCTAAATAAAATAAAATACGTAAATATTAAAACACACATTTTTTTACTTGCATCGTAAAGTAATTGTATTTTTTCATTTGCTACACAGCCAGATAATACGACAAATCGCTAACCTTAAACACCCAGTCGTTCATACAAGTTGAAGGCAGTATAGTACTATAGTAATAGAGCAAGTGCAGAATCAATGAACCGGAATTGATAGCTGGAAAGCATTTAGCGCGGGGCCCTTAAAAGTGCGGGGCCCGTAGCTACTACACATGCAGTAGCTACTACACATGCAGTAGCTACTACACATGTAGTAGCTACTTGTGCTGCTGGGATAATCCAGCACTGGCACCAGGTACTTGTTTAAGGCTGAGCAGACCCTGGGGATGCTCAAGACGAGGTGGAATATTCACCACTTCTGTTGGTCATGACCCAGGATTCATAGCGCAGTGTACTAATCACTGCACCACCACTCCCCATCCGAATATATACACAAAGGTACACATACACACCGACATACATGTACACAGCGATACACACGGAAAGCATTACAAACAAAAGAGTGGTGTAGATGAAGTCCAGAATGTGGAAAACGCTCAAGAGCTGTTTGTTTATCTACTAAAACAAGGGCGTGTAGAGGACTGGACCCAGGAGTAGATGAATCCACGAGCGTAGTGAGTACCGATTGCAGTGTCCGCAAAGGGTGTGATTTGTAGACAAGCTGAGAGCAAATGGTCATTTGTGCATCAAGAAAACATAACTTTGAAAACAAGTTTGCGATTGTTTACACAGTAAACATTTATTTTCATTCATATAACATACATTCCAGTGCCAATAATGTAAAGTCGCTTTATGTATCCCTGCAAGAAACAAAATGAACACTTTACGATCTAGTAAGGCAATTTTGAGGATCGCCAGAGAGAGAGGGGAGTGACAGGAAAGATGGAAAAAACAACAGCAACATTTTATTCTTCTGTGCAAGCATCATGCAGTGGCATTATTTTCGACATGAACAATGATCGCATGCAGGTCTGATGATCCAGAATGAAAGTCAAGAGCACACGACATTCCAATTGTCCTGCTCTCTCAAGGCCTGGCCTTCTATCCCTTGCAGTTTCTGGATTACTTGAAAATCAAATAATAAAGGGAGTTTATTACTGGATTCTCCAGATTCTAAACACCCTATGGGAGGAGCGTTTTATAAATGGGAGGAAATCATATTACCCAGACGAAACCATCAAGACAAGTTCTATATTTGAAGTTTTCACGACTGCAAGGATCCATACTCTTTGGTTCTTTCGGTAAAGTCACGTAGGTAGAAAATAATAAAAGTAAAAAAATAAAATAAAAATTAAATCACGACGTTTCGGGCGCAACACAAGTGCTCGTCATCAGAAGCAACTGCTGTTGCCCGAAACGTTGTGATTTAATTAATTTTTTACTTTTATATATTTTTTTACCTACGTGACTTTACCAAAAGAACCAAAGAGTATGCATACAGACAAGGGTATAACACTCAAAAGGTCCTCACAGATAGGTTTATAAATCCACTAGTTGTACTACTATCTTCTAGCCACCGGGTGGTTCACCTCCAAAGTGTTGCATCATAGCGTCGTTTTTTTACACAGCACCAGCAGCTGATCGGGATGCACGTGGATTGCGCAACCGGGGTGTGACCGTACAGGCCAGCGGTGGACAACCTGCGAGCCGTGAAGCCTCTCGTGGTGGCCTGGTCTCAGTGGGTCTCGGGTGATGCGCATGGTCACAATTAGTGCACAAGTATGATGCTAGATTTTACCACACATATTTGGCAAATCTGGAATTAGTCCCAGCAACGTAGCAAAAAGTGCTGTTTCATCTACATAACAAAGGCTCAGTCCCATTCACAGCAGCCGCACCTTTAAATCAGCCGCACCTTAACAACTCTTAGAACCTCCCAGTTCAACAGTCTACACAACAAAGACTCATTCAGCCTCACCACCTCGACATAACAAAAGGCTCAGTCCCATTTACACACACCTTTACATCAGCCGCACCTTAACAACTCTTTTCAACCAGTCTACACAACAAAGACTCATTCCTAACAGCGTGCTTCAGCCGCACCGAACCTCACAATTGGCTCCTCCCACCCTCAACCAGTATATATACAAGGACTGTTTTCTTGGAATTTCTCTTAGTTGATACAGCTATCGTGCTGTGACGGTTCCACCTGAAGATGGAAGCTTGTGTTGCTTCCGAAACGTCGTGATTTTATTTTATTTTTATTTTACTTTTATTAATTTAAATTTTTTACCTACGTGACTTTACCGAAAAAAACCCAAGAACACAAGTATGATGCCAAGCTTGTCGCCCACTGAGGTGAAGAAGGAGGGCTTCTCGTGTGGCCACGTGGCCCACCGACTCATCTGGGTTGCCCATCGCTGGCCGACTAGGAAGCACGTTGTACGGCTATGAGGCGCACACCGGCGCTACCTCAGTGGCACAGGGTGCAGCTTGTGTCCCGTCTTGCACACGAGCTGCTCGGCGTGGATGCGCAGCAAACGTGGGCTGTCCTCAAATTCATCCACCACATCCTGAGAAGGAAAACGAGCTGTTGTTAGGGCTTTTAAATCTCCACAAGCAGTCCGATTATTCCACTTTGGACAAATACTGAAGGTTTTGGCGATTCACCTTGCAGATAACAATTCTGGATTATTATATATTTTTTATGATGGTAAAGTTTGATATTTTGCAATGGGTAATGGAGCGACTGAAGTACCAGTTTTGCTGCCTCAGAACCCGCTGAAATCTTACGCTTAATTTCCATAAACCAGTGGTAGGCAACAAACATGCTCAGAGCCCCATGCTCCTCCGTGTGTCTCACACCACGGGTGCTTTGACTTTGACGATCATGTTCCCAAGTGATTCTTTACAACGGCTATAATCACTAGCCCAATGTCCCACAAGTGTTTATCGTTTTGTCACTAAAATGGTTTTAAATTCAACGTAACTTTCAAGGAATATCCTGGCTGAAAGGAGTTGTTTGCATAGATGGTTTTATCCAAAAAATAAATGACAGTGGACCCCCGTGTTTGATTGTACTCAACATGACTTAGGGATATGCAAACTCGCTGTGAGTGGTCCATGTGAAATCACAGCAGGGCCTTGAAGGAAAGCTGACCTGTAACTGGTTTATAAGGTCCTGGTTGAAACGGTCTGACAAATCTCCGACACACCACGCCAGACTCATGTGGAATGACGTGTCCTATAGCACACACAACATCAACACACACATAAAATGAGCACACACACACATTACACAAATGAAAAAATTAACCCGTAAAAACAAAGTTTTTCACTATAAATCCTTTATATGCGTGGCGGCTAGAGTCCTCTCGTCCTCTGGCTTGAGATGGCTGCCACCTATGGGTCAGATGATTGCCTGCCACCATTAAGCAATTGGTAATTAAATATAATTAATTTTTTCCTAAAAAGTGTAAAATTTTGGAAATTTTTTTCACGAAAATAGATTGTCACACACAACGAGTCTGTGTGCAAAATGTCAGCTCGATTGGATCACGGGAAGTGGGTTAAAAAACGACCGAAAGATTTGCACGGTCGTAAGCACGCAAGCAAGCAAGCGACTTTAATATAAAGGATTTAAAAATAGTCTATTACTCTATACACACGCACAACTTGTCATTACAGTGTATGCTGAAAAACGTTTAAATGCTGATGTTTTACACTCAATGCAATTTCAAATCATCCTTGCCAAACGGTAGTTGTCAGGCACCTTGAAAAATGTCTGCAACTGGAACTCCTGCATTGCTCCATCGATCTCTGTCACCAAGCCCAGCAAGTCCTGCTGCCCGCGCGTTGCCTCCAGCCCCAAGAAAGTCCTGCACAGAGACCACCGGGGAGTTACTCTGCACGTGGTGACTTGGTATACGCCGAGACTATTACTGGTAGGAACCTCCTGGTTACACCAGCCCACAGGGGATTATTGTGTCTGTCGTGCAGCGAGGGGCTGGGTGGGGAGGGGAGGGTGGGGCTGGGTGGGGAGGGTGGGGCTGAGTGGGGAGGGGCTGGTAACCCCGTGGTGCCCTTATAAAACTCAACGTTTAACCTACTCACGCCGGCTTGTGCCCGCCCTCACAGTCGGCCATATTTGCGGAATACACCACGCCGCCGTTGACCCTGGCCATTGACCGAGCAACCCAACGTTCCTACCAGCTCCCTCCGCAGGAATGTGTTCAAGTCCAACAGATCAGTACGATATACACGTTTTTTAAGTTGAACTTCCTATTCTTGAAATATGGTCCAATTCTAAGAGGATGTCCGATAAAGTGCTCGTTAGATGATTACATTGCAGGATCATGAGAAGTGGAAAGGGTTCGGGGAGGTTTTAAACCAGCAGTGAACTCACCATGGATGATGATGACGATGCTTCTGGAAATAAACGTTGTAGTACTTGCAAGCTTATGAATCATTGCACTGCAGCCAGTAGGGTACTCTTTGGTTCTTTCGGTAAAGTCACGTAGGTAGAAAAATAAAATAAAAAATATACTGTATATCACGACGTTTCGATGAATGATTATCCAGCAGTGGAACTGCTGGATGATTATTTTTTCCACCTGAGGACGACCGCTTGTGTTGCGATCGAAACGTCGTGATATATTATTTTTTATTTTATTTGATTTTTCTACCTACGTGACTTTACCGGAAGAACCAACGAGTATGGATTCCTGCAGTCACGAAAGCTTCAAATCAAGCCAGGAGGATGCTGGCCCTGATTAATGTTTGTATGTACACTCGGTGAAGTTTATAAATGTGCACAGATTTTCATGACATTTTTATATTTTGTAAACTGGCCAGCAATAAAAATACCATCCAACAATACAGAAAGTTACTTTTATTAAGTTCAACAAATTATAACGATTTCTAACTGTACATAATTCTTATTTAAATTTATTTGCCGCTACTGTTTCTTGCACTGACAATATGAGAGGTTAACTAAAATCATAACGAACGTTTATTTTTTGTCACAGAGGAAATGAAGATCGACATTTCGGCCAACTGGCCTTCAGGAAAATTGTTATGAATTAATTTTAACCTCTTATTCTCGGCTAGTTTCTGAAGCAGCAACTTACCAATTATGTTATCAACAGATAATACACAAATATGAACGAACTGCACCGTTAGTTTCCCAGAACGGTGTCTGTGTGTCACAGGGTGTCGTCTGAGCTGCTCACCTTGTTCTCTCCTGGTTCGTATATACCTTGACCTTGTTCGTGAAGCAGTTAAATCTGCAGAAGCAAACGGCATTCACTTAGCATGCCAATCTGCATCAAGGGACTTTTCTTTTACAATGGCAGTTGCAAAACTATGACATTTAACAGGTCTTCCCAAGTCACCCAACCTCTAGCAGTGTGATATTTGCACTCGTTCAATCACAAAAAAGTGATTTCCTATTCAAATGAGCATGGAGGCAGTGCTAACCTCCTGTTTACAGCCCAGACAGTGGTGGAAATTCCACATTGCTATGGCAGCGGCGAGTCTATCCATAGGACAACCAATGTTGAAGTGGTATTCATTTTATAGACCCTAGAGGAATGATGGGAGAGTCGACCCACAACCAGGATTTGAACTCGCAACCTTCTGATCACAAGCTGCTTGCTCTACCCCTGAGCCAAAAAGGCTGGGTCTGGACTAGTTCAGGATTTTATGTTGTGCTCCGATGGGTTTGAAACCAGTACTCAGAGACTTAGATTAGCATGGGGTGCCCCACTAAATAATGGAAGTGTAAATAATATTAGACAGTAGGCTATGGCGAAAGGAGGTGAAATATAGCAGCTCGGATAATTACAGGGTCGGGTACACGGAGTTATCTCACCAACTGCTTATTAAGCAAACATGGGATGGATGTTACAGTTCTTACGCAGCCTCTGGTTAGGTAAGTTACAATGTCACCCAACATCCAATTGCAAAACGAGGGCCTTTGAGCAGTACAACTCATCTTGAATTGTGGATTTCGGCTCACCGGTGGTAGGAGCCAAGGCGCTCTCTCAACGTCTGCAGGAAGAGGTTGATCCAGTGGTAGCGCAGAACCACCGTCTGCGAGAGGCTGATGTGGAAGTCTTCCTGTTTACTCATGCGCAGTCCAACATCGCACAACCGCCTCAACACCAGGTCCACCAGCTCGTCAAAGTCGGAATCCCCCGAATCTGTAATTGATCCGTAGGATGTGTATTACCGTTTTGGCTTCAGTGAACAAAAAATGCAAAATGCAGAATAAACACAATAGTGATGCAGGGTTTACTAAACGAGTAACACAAACTACTCTGACTTTTGGAAGTCAGGTCTCTTTTTAGGTTAGTCTTACATTTGTTTTGTCCTGCACAAGTGTTTTGCATGGTAAGGATAGTGGATAGGCCAGCTCAGAAATCTATACAGATAGCTTAGCAACCCATTTGCTGTGCTGCTATGGTCACCTCATATCCCTGCAGGTAAGAAATTCGGGTACATGATGACATCTGCATTTGACTCCTCGAGATGCATGCAACAAAATCCTGATTGTTTTAACCGAGTATAAGTACTTCAGTTTTTTATCATGTGCAAAAAGTCTTGAAAAAGTAAGGGCATAGGGCTCCTCTAGAACCTGCACTTCTGATTAGCACGTTTGGCTTCATACGGTGCGAAAGAAGTTCAACAACATACAGTAGATACATATCCTGGCCAGTGCCATGGCCTAACGGCGGCACGATCGCTACTTGTTGCAGGGGTCCACGGTTCTAAATCAGCGGCCGCCCTGATTGTTAGTGCTGCTTTACGAACCAAACATGACGTGCCGTCTGCTTCACAGTGGACGTTAGAGATCCCCTGACGTCATACGTAAGAGGAGGTCAATGTGTGCCGGTGTCAGGGTCCAAATCAAAAATTATCTGCACAGTACCGAAACTAAACTTGTATTTACTAAAGCTCACTGAGCTATGAACTGCTTTTCAGGGGTGACCTGGCCACACATATTACCTCATCGAAGTGGATGATATCATCACATGTGAGAATTTATAGTAGCAGCCAAATAATCTAAACGCATGTTGTTTCGAAATGCGGAGGGCAAAACCGGAAGACCCGGAGAAACATCCACGCTACCACGGGGAGAGGTAACACGCAAACTCCAAATATACAGGAGTGAGGTCGGGATTGAACCCACAACCTCCCCTGCTTACCACGCGAATGAAATAACACCTCACCACAATCATCACCCTTAACTTGTAGAATAATACTCAAGGTCACGTTTTCAAATGAGACTAACGTGGTCTCTTGAGTTCTTACCTTGTTAAATTAAATAAACTTGAATCCTACTATACTCTTAGTTCTTTCGGTAAAGTCACGTAGGTAAAAAATGAAATAAAAATTAATAAAAATAAAACAATAAAATCATGACGTTTCGGAGGCAACACAAGTCTCCGTCATCAGGTGGGACCGTCAAGCAGCAAATCTGGCTGTGACGGTCCCACCTGATGACAGAGACTTGTGTTGCCTCCGAAACGTCGTGATTTTATTGTTTTATTTTTATTGATTTTAATTTCATTTTTTACCTACGTGACTTTACCGAAAGAACTAAGAGTATGAATTCTTGCAGTCACGAAAGCTTCAAATCTAGAATTGAATCCTACTCTTGTAACTTAAATCTATGGAACACATCAGTAACTTTCCAAGCCATAACATGAGGTGGCTGCGCGACTCATGCCATTAACTCTGCTTCACCTGGATAAACGACCACTGCTATTGCGCTATCTAGGTCATAAACGTCCAGATGCAATTATTAATCATGAGAAATATAGAGAACCCCCTCGCAACATTAGTTTGCACACATGGCAGGCACACAGATAAATCAAACAAAATAAAGGCATGCAAACATTGGGTCCGCACAAATGGTAAGCGAAGAATGAAAGATACGTGACTTTACCTAAAGAACCAAAGAGTAAAGAATGAGTGATCAACAGCACCAACACATTCCTGCGGAGGGAGCTGGTAGGAACGTTGGGTTGCTCGGTCAATGGCCAGGGTCAACGGCGGCGTGGTGTATTCCGCAAATATGGCCGACTGTGAGGACGGGCACAAGCCGACGTGAGTAGGTTAAACGTTGAGTTTTATAAGGGCACCACGGGGTGACCAGCCCCTCCCCACCCAGCCCCACCCCTCCCACCCCCCATCCAGCCTCACCCTCCCCACCCAGCCCCACCCAGCCCCTCCCCACCGTCCCCTCCCCACCCAGCCCCTCCCTCCCTCCCTACCCAGCCCCTCCCTCCACACCCAGCCCCTCCCTGCACGACGGACGGACACAATAATCCCCTGTGGTCTGGTGTAACCAGCAGGTTCCTACCAGTATAAACCTACTGCACCTTAACTGAACGTGCCTCACCAGGGCAAAAGAGACATACATGGCAGGTAGACGTAAGTCGCCCAGTTGCCTCTCTCATGGGCAAAGGAGCGGAGGCGTCCACCATGCTGGCTTCCACCTTCTGCGTCGTCGGCTTTCTCATCGTCGTCAGCAAACATGCTGCGAACACTCTCGGGCAGCGGGAGTCGTCCTCCAGCGGGCCGTCTTCCTCGAAATACGAACGAAAGTGGAAATCCAAGAGAAGTTTGTCACGAATCAACGATGTCTGTTCGGGGAAACATTCTTAGCATGCTGGATATATACAAGGGCATCGATGAGTATGCATCGAAATTAATATCAATATTGCACATAAAAATGCATGTTTACATATTACTCAGAACTGATTAAAATTAATGTAATGGAACAAGGTCTGTTGTTTGTGATTTATCTTACAGCTGCATGGTACAATGCACACATTGAAATACTGTACGGAGTAAGTGTCACGCACAACAAATTATCACTCGTCCGAGACTATCTTCCTTGATGCCGCAGATAATCCATGGAAAGAATATTTTACTGGTAGGAACCTCCTGGTTACACCAGCCCACAGGGGATTATTGTGTCCGTCCGTCCTGCATCAAAAATGTGAGGGGTGGGGCTGGGTGGAGAGGGGAGGGTGGGGAGGGGCAGGGTGGGGAGGGGAGGGTGGGGAGGGGCTGGGTGAGGTGGGGAGGGTGGGGTTAGGTGGGGAGGGGAGGGTGGGGGGTGGGAGGGGTGGGGCTGGGTGGGGAGGGGCTGGGTGGGGAGGGGCTGGTCACCCCGTGGTGCTCTTATAAAACTCAACGTTTATCCTACTCACGCCGGCTTGTGCCCGCCCTCACAGTCGGGCATACTGTATTTGCGGAATACACCACGCCGCCGTTGACCCTGGCCATTGACCGAGCAACCCAACGTTCCTACCAGCTCCCTTCGCAGGAATGTGTTTGGTTTATGTATTCCCTACGTTAATTTGACATCCACACTGAAGTCGCATTCCTTGCCAACCGAACAATCCTGGCCCACTCCATGTCCAAATTGAGACGTACGTTTTTGTGCGGATAATTCTAGATGAATTATTTATATTCTAATTCCCTGTTAATGTCTTATGTATGACGTGATGACTCAGCAATGTCTACCACTACTGTACAACGAAGTTGATTTGAGGAAATTTAACAAAATATTTGTTGTGCGATGGCAGTCGTGAAACTAACACAAATAACACAATACTCACCAAGTGCGTCAATAATGTCGCCTTAAAGTAACAATAGGCGCCGTTTGGCCCTTATTCACCCCACATATAAAGGGCCATTCCCCATAACGTCGCCTAAGACGTATACACATCATCTTTGTATACTTTCCTTTTAAGCCATGCGTTATTGAATGTGTTGGATTTTTTAACTTTTCATGAAAGGTGACCTTTTTGACCCCACTGCGCAGCCCTCAGTACCTACAACTCTCAAAAGATAAACTTCCTCGGCTATGCATCTTGCAGGTGTGGGTGTCTCTGCTGTAGGTGTCTCTGCTATAGGTGTCTCTGCTATAGGTGTCTCTGCTGTGGGTGTCTCTGTAGGTGTCTCTGCTGTAGGTGTGTCTGTAGGTGTCTCTGTAGGTGTCTCTGCTGTAGGTGTCTCTGTAGGTGTCTCTGCTGTAGATGTGTCTGTAGGTGTCTCTGTGGGTGTCTCTGCTGTGGGTGTCTCTGCTGTGGGTGTCTCTGCTGTGGGTGTCTCTGCTGTAGATGTCTCTGCTGTAGATGTCTCTGCTGTAGGTGTCTCTGTATGTGTCTCTGTAGGTGTCTCTGCTGCAGGTGTCTCTGTAGGTGTCTCTGCTGTGGGTGTCTCTGCTGCAGGTGTCTCTGTAGGTGTCTCTGCTGCAGGTGTCTCTGTAGGTGTCTCTGCTGTGGGTGTCTCTGCTGCAGGTGTCTCTGTAGGTGTCTCTGCTGTGGGTGTCTCTGCTGTGGGTGTCTCTGCTGCAGGTGTCTCTGTAGGTGTCTCTGCTGTAGGTGTCTCTGCTGTGGGTGTCTCTGCTGCAGGTGTCTCTGTAGGTGTCTCTGCTGTAGGTGTCTCTGTAGATGTCTCTGCTGTAGGTGTCTCTGCTGTAGGTGTCTCTGCTGTAGGTGTCTCTGCTGCAGATATCTCTGTAGGTGTCTCTGCTGTAGGTGTCTCTGTAGATGTCTCTGCTGTAGGTGTGTCTGTAGGTGTCTCTGCTGTAGGTGTCTCTGTAGATGTCTCTGCTGTAGGTGTCTCTGCTGCAGGTGTCTCTGTAGGTGTCTCTGCTGTAGGTGTCTCTGCTGCAGGTGTCTCTGCTGTAGATGTCTCTGCTGTAGGTGTCTCTGCTGCAGGTGTCTCTGTAGGTGTCTCTGCTGTAGGTGTCTCTGCTGCAGGTGTCTCTGCTGTAGGTGTCTCTGCTGCAGGTGTCTCTGCTGTAGATGTCTCTGCTGTAGGTGTCTCTGCTGTATATGTCTCTGCTGTAGGTGTCTCTGCTGTGGGTGTCTCTGCTGTAGTTGATGAGGTCTCTGCTGTATGTGTCTCTGCTGTATGTGTCTCTGCTGTGGGTGTCTCTGCTGTAGATGTCTCTGTAGGTGTCTCTGCTGTGGGTGTCTCTGCTGTAGATGTCTCTGTAGGTGTCTCTGCTGTGGGTGTTTCTGCTGTAGGTGTCTCTGCTGTAGATGTCTCTGCTGTGGGTGTCTCTGCTGTAGATGTCTCTGTAGATGTGTCTGCTGTAGGTGTCTCTGCTGTAGATGTCTCTGCTGTAGATTCTCTGCTGTAGATGTCTCTGCTGTAGGTGTCTCTGCTGTATGTGTCTCTGCTGTAGATGTCTCTGCTGTAGATGTCTCTGCTGTAGATGTCTCTGCTGTAGATGTCTCTGCTGTAGATGTCTCTGCTGTAGGTGTATCTGCTGTGGGTGTCTCTGCTGTAGTTGATGAGGTCTCTGCTGTAGGTGTCTCTGCTGTAGATGTCTCTGCTGTAGATGTCTCTGCTGTAGGTGTCTCTGCTGTAGGTGTCTCTGCTGTGGGTGTCTCTGCTGTAGGTGTCTCTGCTGTAGGTGTCTCTGCTGTAGGTGTCTCTGCTGTAGATGTCTCTGCTGTAGATGTCTCTGCTGTAGATGTCTCTGCTGTAGGTGTATCTGCTGTGGGTGTCTCTGCTGTAGTTGATGAGGTCTCTGCTGTAGGTGTCTCTGCTGTAGATGTCTCTGCTGTAGATGTCTCTGCTGTAGGTGTCTCTGCTGTAGGTGTCTCTGCTGTGGGTGTCTCTGCTGTAGTTGATGAGGTCTCTGCTGTAGGTGTCTCTGCTGTAGGTGTCTCTGCTGTAGATGTCTCTGTTGTAGGTGTCTCTGCTGTGGGTGTCTCTGCTGTAGTTGATGAGGTCTCTGCTGTCGAGGAATGATCTCTGCTGTTGCATCACCAATCGTCGTGGTCGTGATGACAACGATAATGGGAATCTGTGAGCCCAGGCGGTGGCTCACCCCTGTAGGTCTCGGGCCGTGCCGGCACGACGAGGACGGCGTTGAGGAGGAGGAGAGGCAGCTTGAGGAGGGGCAGCTGGAGGAGGAGGGGCAGCTGGAGGAGGAGGGGCAGCTGGAGGAGGGGCAGCAGCTTGAGAAGGGGTCATCCCCACGTCCCGACGTGCCTCCACCGTGCCGGGCCGCCCGTACACGATCCCCGCGTGATCCTCCTTCTCATCCTCCTCCTCCTCCTCACCCGAGCTGCTGCAGCTGCTGCTGCTGCTGTAGCTCACCAGGCCCGGCAGCATGGCGCTCGCTCGGCGCTCGCCTCCTGCCTCCACGCGCATTCGCCCCGGGCGGGCGGGCGGGCTGGGCGGGTTGGGGGGGTCGCGGTCGAGAGGCCACGGGGCCGCTGTGGGGCCGCCTTGCGCCAAGCGGGCTGCACGTCTCACTAGGGGGGGGGGGGAGGATGTGGACCTGTTGCCAGGCTACCGAGGATTTACCTCCAACACTGAGGGGGGGAGGGGCGTGGCCCTGTTGCCAGGCTACCGAGGATTTACCTCCAACATTGAGGGGCGTGGCCCTGTTGCCAGGCTACCGAGGATTTACCTCCAACTTTGAGGGGGAGGGGCGTGGTCCTGTTGCCAGGCTACAGAGGATTTACCTCCAACATTGAGGGGGGGAGGGGCGTGGCCCTGTTGCCAGGCTACCGAGGATTTACCTCTAACTTTGAGGGGGAGGGGCGTGGTCCTGTTGCCAGGCTACCGAGGATTTACCTCCAACACTGAGGGGGGAGGGGCGTGGTCCTGTTGCCAGACTACCGAGGATTTACCTCCAACATTGAGGGGCGTGGCCCTGTTGCCAGGCTACCGAGGATTTACCTCCAACATCGCGTTTGAGATTCCATCACAGCTGTCAAACCCCATACACCATTGGAACATCATTTGCCAGTAACTAAATTTGATAATAGTTTTTTAAACCCTTTTATCTGGCAACAAAACTGACACCTTTTTTCTGGTTCAACACCAAGTGAGACTAGGCTCTAAGAAAAGCTGTCTCGGGTGTGAACCAATCAATTTCAAGGACAGTGCATACATTATCAGAGTTGTGGTTTTTTTTTTGCATTATACCCGCAGGTATTGTGGTCAATGCAAACATGACTCCTTGTAAAAAAGGTGTCAGTTTTGTTGCCAGATAAAAGGGTAAAAAACCAATTATCAAACCCCAATACGGTTTAAGCCCCGTGTTATTGTTACAGGGAAATTGAGTTTTCACCGTCCATGCGGCGTACAGCCGTTTCAACACGGGCAAAAAAACAACAAAAACCGTGTCTATGTGTCTGTGTTTCTCACTTGTGGTGATGTGGCTTTGCAAGATGAACGTTGAGATTTCTCAGGTCACGGGGTGACCAACACGGTCTGATTTGCTCTGTAATATTCAAGGTAAGGGCACTAATAAGGGGTGCACAGCTATGCGACGGGTTCTTATTTATCTCGAGTCAATAGCAGACGCAGTCTCCCCGACAGACCTGGTCTTCACCTGAGGACGGCTGCTTGCGTTGTGGCCGAAACGTCGTGAGAATTTTTTTATTATGTTTTATTTTTATTATTTTATTACTTCCCTTCTACGTGACTTTACCGAAAGAACCAAGAAGATGAGATTGTAGAGTTTGATGCCTGTAGTGTGATAAAGATTGTAGAGTTTGATGCCTGTAGTGTGATGAGTCTGTAGTGTTTAATGTGGTACAGGCAGCGGGGGGGGGGGGGGGGGGGGGGTGCAGTTCGCGCATGCGCGCTGGGTCCCGCGGGCGTCTCGTTGCCATGACGACGCGGCCTGCGCTCGGGCTAGGCGAGGCCGCGGGAACCGAGAAGTAATCCCGCGACGAGGTAACGAAGTAACGATGGTAACGAGATGATAACGAGGGTAACGGAGCAACGAGGCGACAGCCAGAGTCAGAGTGGAGGCGTTGACGGGCAGTGAGGAGAAGCCGGGGCCTTCACTGTGTGTCCGTCAACGTCGCCCCAGCTGACGCCAGGGCCCTGATTGAGGTCATTGACGTGGAGATGTTCGACTCGTTCGAAGGTGCCGCACGGTGATTTAGTTGCGTTGTTCTGATACAGAAGTTGGGTGCTTATCCAAAAATTAATATTGCTTATCAAAGGCTTCGGCGACTATAGGTGGTACTGGGATATCTGTCTGCGTGAAGGCTGTGCGGGCTTGCGTACTTGTTGTTGTGTGTGTGTTGTGAGATTGAGTGCTTTATTGTGAGATTGTATTGTGTGGTTGTGTGTGTTGTGGTTGTGTTGTGGGTGGTTGTGTCTGTATTGTGTGTGTTGTGTGCGTGGTTGTGTGTGTGTTGTGGTTGTGTGTTGTGTGGGTGTTGTGTGTGTGTTGTGTGCGTGTTGTGTTATTGTGTGGTTGTGCGTGTTGTGTGTTGTGGTTGTGGGTGTTGTGTGTGTTGTGTGCGTGTTGTGTTATTGCGTGGTTGTGCGTGTTGTGTGTGTGTATTGTGGTTGTGTTGGTTGTGGGTGTTGTGTGTGTGTGTTGGGTGGGTGTTGTGTGCGTGTTGTGTTATTTTGTGTGGTTGTGTGGGTGTTGTGTTATTGTGTTTGTGTCTGTGTGTTGTGTGTGGGGAGCGGTGGTGTAGCGGTTAGTGCGCTCCGACACTAATCCCACGACCCGATTTCGATTCCCACTCACGGCCAACACCGGTGACGATTATCTCAACCGGTCGTGGGCCTCCCCTAGGTCGACTCAGCCTCAATTGAGTACCTGGTGCGATGTGTAAACATCGCCACTGGGGAGACAAAGGCAGCCGGGCGTGGTGCTGGACATCCACCACCTCGTGTGCCGTGCCGACCTTAATAGTGTAGGTCAGTGGTTCTTAACCTTTACTGCAGCCTTTGGTTCTCAATCGTTTAAAATGTGTAACTTTAATGAAGACGTGGGTTTGAGGAAACAAAGCAGTTGTACTTACGTGCCCATGCTTAATCTGTGTTTTCGATTATTTACCTTTACAAAAAATCTGGCCGTGCCTCGCACCCCCACAAATGGCATCTTGCACCCCCAGGGCCGGATTAAGATGTTGTAGGTCCCTGGGCTCCAGGTACTGTGAGGCCCCCAGTAATATTCTCAAAAGGAAAACAACGTTAAAGAAAAATCGAATGTATTTTTTACAAGGCTGAACAACAACTTAAATTCAGCATTCACAAGTGAAATAACTTTTCACTTCATCTCTGGAGGCCTTCCAGCTGGCAGAAGCCTCTGGGGCTACAGCCCCTAAATCTCTCAGCCCCTAAATCCCTCAGTCACTAAAGCCCCTGTGCCTTGATCCGGCCCTGCGTGCACCCCAGGTTAAGAAGAATAAGAACCACATTGTTCGAGGTCAGGGGTGGGGGAACCCTTTTTCTGCCAAGGGCCATTTGGATATTTATAACATCATTCGCGGGCCATACAAAATTATCAACTTAAAAATTAGCCTGTGAAATTTGGCCAAACATTTAATTAACTCAACCCTAATGTGATGGCTGGAACTGCTTCTCTTTGGTGAGGTGTGTGATGTTAGCTGGTATTGATGATGCTGCTACTCACAACTGCTTTTCCAAGTTTGCTCCTAGATTTATTGAATTTCGAGTCCCGCCTGTGGTTGCCTTGGCAGGGCCAGACCAAATGATTTAGCGGGCCTTACTCGGCCCGCGGGCCAGACGTTCTCCACCCCTGCTCTAGATGCTCGCTAACAGCACTTGCCCCAACAATCAAGTTAAAAGCTACATGGGGGACCGTTGTTGCGTTTCGCTCTGTGTGGTTACTGTCTGCGCAGGAGCCGTTCTCAAGCCGACGAGCCGAGGCTACGTTAGGAGACCGCGTAGAGGGCCCCGGGGTGACTTACGGTATATGTGAGGAATATGTCCAAGTGACACGAATTACATTTGATGCGTGTTTGTGTAGTCGTGGTGATCAAGGAGCTCAGACCCCGCTACAATTGAGAACCCAGTTTAGTCACGAGTGACCCGCACAATTTAAACGGAGGATCTCAGCGGTGACAGCTTAGCACTCTGATTTACAATTGTCCGAGTCGGCTAGACCCCCCCCCCCCAACTTATGAAAAAAAACTATTTAAAGACTTTACCCTATGTCAGTAAAGTGTGGATGGAATATACTAAGAGTTGCGTTGGCTACCAAATTTAACGGGTGTGTAACGTTTGCTTAAATGTGATGTTACGAGGCAGGTGTGGGATTTGATCATTGTACAAAAAGTGAAAAAATAAAAGTCCATAATTGTCAACCCCTTATCAGTGCCTACCTTATTACAAACCAATTCAGACCTTATTGGTCATCCCGTGCCCTTATAAATCTCAACGTTCATCCTACAAAGTCCCATCACAAGGGAGATAAACAAATGGACAAAAAATATTTTACTAAACTATTTTTTCCCATATTGAAACGGCTGTACACCATATGGACCTGAAAACTCAATTTCCCAGTACAAGAATATGGGCAATCCGTATGGGTTGACAGGTATGAAAGTTACAGCGCAGTCAATGGCACCCGGGAGAGTAGCGCGCCTACACCAACTAATGCGATAGAACGATTCACCCCTAACAGGTGGGCACACACAGCCTACCACACGAGCCATCGGATTCTATAGTCTCACCCCCTAAATAGAACTTCACCTTCTGTCACTTAAATACAACACGAACTATGTGGGTGTATATAAGGGCGTCCAACATTACTTCAAAGCTTAATGAGGATATGCTTATTTAGCAGGAAGCATGATTTAAAATACACTGCTATATTGTTCGATGAGGTCTTTCCTGGGATATGACATGTATTCTGCGTTACAAATGCCATACGTGTAGACTGAGGAGTGTCCCATTGGATACTGTGGACACGGTGCTTCCCTTGACCCGTTTTCATGTTTATTTCTCCACCGTATCGTTGCACTGAGTTATCTGTGGATCACCATTACTAACCATAAGCTTGAACACTAACTTACTGGCACGCTGTTGTCCTTTCACCTGTATTCTCGAAGTGAGAAGCCCCGTTACTCCAGCTACATCGTGAAGTGGTGCATTGTGGGGGTCGCTGTGTTTTCGTCCGTGGTGCCCAGTGTGTAAGGGATGTCGAATGGCAGAACACCGATTTGTAACTGAGAGCCGGGATTTGAGAAGTGAATCGGACATTTTCTACTTACAGAAACATTTCAACTGCCACATTGACGTGGACTGATTTTGCTTTGTAGTTGAATAGATTATCATCACCTAATCCTACGGTGTGATTGCCTATTCTTTAACCAGGCCTCCAGCTGCTTCTCTGATTTTGACGCGATGGATACACTTCCTACGTCGAGCCATCAGCACCACATTTAATTTTACAGGCCCACGATTTGTTTTTGTCAACTTAAGTTGAATGTGAAAGGTAATGCTGACACAACATACACTATGAGACCTCCTTTGCCAGTAGCAATATATAGTAATAGGTTTTTACCCTTTTATCTGGCACAAAAACTGACACCTTTATACAAGGGTGTGGACCAATCAATTTCCAAGGACAGTGCATATCATTTTGACTGCTTGTGTTGTGGTTATTGCAAACATGATCCCTTGTATAAAGGTGTCAGTTTTTGTGCCAGATAAAAGGGTAAACACCTATCACTGACACACCATGTTTTACATTTACCTGGGGGAAAATCAAACTTGCAATGTCAACATGGCTGAAGTTTAAACTTGCATGTAGAAGGTGTTTTACTTAAATATGCACCCCCCCCCCCCAAAAAAAAAAGTGCTTCACATTATTTAAAGTGTAACTGGCCACTGTAGCACAGTATATTGAATCAGTTTCTATAAATAATAATATTGATGTTTCAGCTCTTAAACCCAGGCTATCGGATAGATGTATCTCTGTGATTTTTTTCACATCCTTAACACTCCATGCATTCCACACTGTGTTCCCCACCACGCAGAGTACTGGAAAATATAGCTTGGTCAGGATTGAGGGCTCTCACTTTGTGAATGAGCACAATTTAATGGAAGAACAAAACAACTAAGAAGGTAAGAATAACATGAGTGTGGTTAAATAAAAATCAGGTGTATGCATGCGCGGAATATCATGTGATGATAGACTCAGAAACTTATTAATTAAATGCATAACACAGCAAAAACTTACTACAATACAATGCAATTCAAATTGATCAAATATCACATTCAGAAGATTATGATCGATGGCTTAGCATTTGCTGTGGTTCATTTGCCTTTCGAGTTACTGCATTTGAACAAAGTTGAATAATGTAACGAGTGGAATTGTGCCCCATAGCAGGTGCCATGCCTCGGCGTTTGGGCTTCACAGTGGTTGACGCATCAGGCCACGAGGAGGGCTACAGTGCTGTTGAGCTCACGTCGCACGGACCCACCGTCCAAGGATGGAGATCGCCACGGTATGACTTTTCAAAGCACATGATGGTACGACGTTGCTCCACCCAGGGAAACCAGAATTGTAATCGTGAAGCTTTCTCTAAATTTACAAGCTCTGCCAGCCTGAATTCATGATATGAAAAGTCCACTTCACATCCTTATGTCAGTTTTTGGCTTTGTCATGTCTTAACATGGTGCTCCATCAGGTTTAAATGGTTGTATTCCAGCATGTGCATCATGCCGAGAGAATGAGTATGGTTAATATGATGAAATATGCTGACTTTGTATACTGTTGTGATATCTCAAGTGCAGGCTAGTAGCACTTAATCCAACAGCAGTCCATGTTAAATGTGTGTTCATGTGTGTGTTTCTCTAGGTATTCACTTTATCCCCAGGAGATAGTGCTGTGCTTAGAGGGGCCATGCCATGTGCAGAAGCTGCAAGTGCTATCCCACCAGTTCCTCATCTCCTCCAAGCTGGAGATCTACATCGGGGAGAGCCAGCATCAGGGCAGTGCCTACACTCGCCTGGGGTTAGACAAGCACAATATTACACGGCACACAGCGTGGTCTGGCACAATATACTTTACTGACTGGGTCTTTGCTTTTGATATTACCTGCGCACAGCCTAAATTTGTGTTTATTGGAAAATATATAGCAGATCATACACATAAAACGACATGTATGTAAACTTGAATGAATGTCAATATTTAATGAAACATGCTGAGTATATACTAATGAGAATTGTACCACTTACAAAGACGATACTGATTACTTGTACATAAACCTCGGAAAAGTGTATATTCACCTTGGCCTGAATACCATATATTGTAGTGATCTAAGTCAGCTCCTTTTACAAATGTAACTATTTTAACTATAACCATACTCCAAATTGATTTCAAATGCATCCAGATTTGATGATTTGCAACCAGTACTGAAAAAAGGTTGCAATTGGGACAATTTATGGGTCGCCCAGTTCTAAATACCGTGTCGCAGGGAGAAACAGGCAGCAGGGGTTTGAGGGACGGGCAGTGGACGCAAAGCCCCAACTGTAGGATGCATTGGGGCTATATGTTTGTGCATTTACATTTGTGAATGAATGTATATCTCCCTTTATTTGAGAGTGATTGGAGTGAATCAGTGAGTGCAGGAGTATGAATCAAACGAACTGCATTGCAATGGATTATAAAGAGCAGAGTCAGAAACTAGGGGCCACGATTCGAGAATCAATTTTTTTGTTACAAATAAGGGGCATGTTTACATCCGGAGTGGCTGCAGAGTTACCATGAGCATTGCGTGCATAGTTCGTGTAAGAGTGGAATATATCCCTGCATGCCTAGCGTGTTGTATGCTGTGCTTCTTAGGTACGTTGCCCTGTCTGACAATGATAAGACTGGGTTCCGTGCACGGGAGCTCAAGTCTGTGCATGTGGATGCCACCGGGCGCTATCTAAAACTCATTATCCACAAGAACCATGTCAACAAATACAACATCCACAACCAGGTGACAGCTCTCAACAACTGATCACTCCGCACTCGCAGTAGGAGTTGGATATCACTGCTTTCAGGTGTTACCATTGTCTTTTATCAACATCAACACATTATCTCAGAAATGCAAACTTGTATTTAATTCTCATGTTAAAAAAAAATAATCATATGATATTATAACAAAAATTGTGTTGACTGATGTTAGGGCAGGAAAGTGTACATGCGCTGGTGATGTCACCACGCACACTTGTGCAATGACATCACCCGCATCCCATTTTGAGAGCAGTGAACTTTTGAAATAAAATAAATTGTAAATTTTTATGTTTATAATATCTGTTATGTGTTGTCTCAATATGTGCTTTGGCTTGGTAGGTGGGACTTGTAGCAATCAACATCCTCGGAGATGCCGTGGACGATAAGGATTCTGGAAGTTACTCCCCTGGGGTGAGTGCCATTCTCGATGGACACTTAACATCAGCGTAATGGAGGGGACAAACATTTAAAGGAATTCACGGACCCCGTTTCTGTGTGAAGACACACAGCCATTCCACTAGAGCGAGTGTCTTGAGCAACTGGAACTTGCCCCTCCTGACGAACATTGTTCCTCTCTGCAGACATTGTGGTTGATGTACATTGTGGGCAGTTCCTGGAACTAGAACAAATTCAGCAAAAGTAGCTTCGTAGAATTATTTAAATTCAAGGACTTTCAGCAAACATGAACGTGATTCCATAAGTCATTGCAGACAATTTGCTATCATGAAGGAACGCTTTGGCATTTTTAAGTGGAAAGGTGTCACCGGGAGCTGATGTGCTCCACTGTATCCAATGTACATGGTTAGTCTTGTGGATTGTTCTGCTGTGGTTTACCTGGATGTTAGACAGATAAACATTGTGTGCTTGGGTGTACTGTGAATTTGTGAGACCACAGGCAGCTGATCGCCTTATTAGCCAGTACCTCAAGCACCATCCTGATGATCCAGCTCTGTCATCTACCACACAAAGGTACTTGTTTCCAAATGTCACTGGAGATAGATGTTCTCTGATTATGTAATGCTGGGCATTTAAAAATTGAAGGTAAAATGGCATTACAAACAGGACAAAAATTATTCATGTATTTTACAGTGGTTACATTCACAAGACCCTTAGAATATATATAACATTTTTATATGGCCATCTTTAAGGTAGAGTCAACGTGCCTGCCTGCTCAAACAAGCAACGAGGTGGTGTACATCTCCCCTGGTGCCTCTGAGGTGGTAGTCGAGATTTAATGTTTTTACTGTGGTAGGACAACTCCATCCATAGGACGACCACTGTTGAATTACAACAAAGTTGTACAAAGTGGTAATGATGGTTCAGGATTGCCACAGTTGACTCCGATCAGATTTTAACTCGCAGATTTCTGTTTGCTAACCGGAACATCAACATGCTGTGTTATATGGAGGGTAATCACGTTCAATACAACCATTCCATTTATATACATTAGTACGTTGTTGTCTCTTGTAAAATGAAAAAATACAACAGATGTTCCCTTTGTCTACGTATCATCAGGCAGGAGGAGTTCGATCCATTGGACGATTTGGCGTTTGGGATGTACGTGGACCCGGAGGTGGCGGGAATGATAAGGACGCTGGATGCGCGTAAGCGAGCCGCGGTGAGAGAGGAGAAGTTCCATGTTGCCAAGACCCTTAAGCAGGCCATCGCTGACCTGCACAAGGTACGTGTGTCTGTAGTGGACACGTAGCACAGTGTGTGCACATCTGTTGTGCATCATTAGCACGTCCATTAGTAACCATGGTCCCGGGGAACCATACTGTCCTGCTATCGCTCCGCACGGACTTTACACTTGTATTCTTCATGGGTGCCATGATTCCCCGCTTGTTACAGGGGAGGTGCAGGAAATTCTTGGAATATACTTCAAGCGCTAAAGTATTTTGACACTGTCAAATGAACAAGACTATATTAATTCATGTGTCTAAAAGGGCCAATACAATGGCGGATTGCAGACTTAATTTTACAGCACATATTTGCACTTGGATACACTCACATACTGAACATATATGTACCCACACACACCCTACATATTAATCACTGGGGAGCGAATAAAGCATGTGGTGTATGTATGGTGTGCATATGCATACAATACTGGTATTTTCTATTTTCAAAATGGACTTGCATTGTAATTTTAAGACAATCCATTAATCGGTATCTTGCATGTAGAAAGCCATCAAGGAGGCCCACATAAACAGGTGTGAATGTTAATATATCTGTAGAGATAAATCAGCAGCCCATTAACTTCACTCTTATCTCCTGACCATTTTGTAGTCTAGAAGGTGGGGAGGTTCATGCACACGACAACATCTGCGTAATCCACCAACCCCACTTCTGAAGTGCTGCGTTACAGCGATGCATCCCCATGTTGATAACATTTGGTGCATGGTGGGGCAGGTGCTTGTTGTTGTTAAATGGCATTACCTGTCGCGATTCTGGTGGTGTTCACAATGTATTTAATGCTTGCAAAATGCCGTGTTTTAGGTTGGCGAGCGATTAGGTCGGTACGAGGTGGAGAAGCGGTGCGCTGTGGAGCAGGAGGATTATGACCTTGCTGAGAAAAAGAAGCAACAGATGGAGGAATACCGGCAGAGGGTTTACCAGGAGCTGAGGCTGCATAATCTGCTGCAGGTTGTCTTTGCTTGCATAAATTGTGGTGGACACACACACGCGCCAATAACAAGGGCTGTGGGTGCACAATCTCTTGTCCGCAGACAACTGGTGGTCCGCAAGGCCATGGAAAGTGGTCTGCGGAATTGTTGCAGATGTTTTTTTCATGAAACAAACTGCGTGGTGGTACCTGAACATGATGAAACAAAAAGGAGATGTAACCTGTGACTATCTTGCTTTGTCATTCTGATATAAATATTCCATCTTGTATTGCGTGCTCTGGTAGGAGGAAGAGGTGGAATGGCTCAGTTCACCTCTTTTTAGATATGAAGGTCACGGCACAGAGATGGGCTCTCCCCGGGGATTGAGAGGCAGCAACTCGCAGATAACTTCTCCAGGGAACACGGCACGTACTAAGGGGGCGGCCTTGCAGGAACGCGGGACACCAAAGGGCATGATGGCTGCAGGGGAAGATGTGCGCACACATCGTAGTGAGTCTGAACGGATGTACTCCACCCAGGTACGGACATCATGACACTTTTATATCAGGTTGACTGATTTTCAGTTTATTATTTTCAAATATAAAATTGTAAAATGTATAAAGTAAAAATGGTGGTTTGGAATTCAACCTATCATGCACATTTGGAAGGTTTCAATAGATATGCTGTCATCTTCACAAAGGAATAGGAAACTGAACTTTGTATGTGCACACCACCTTTCGAAACATTGTATATTATAAAACAAATTCTATATTCTGATATACTTGTGTGTCGCAATTGCCTCTTGTAATTTTTGGATAACTTGTGGCTTTTGTTAAGTGTTGTTAAAATGTGTTGAAGATAATACTTAAAGATTTCATCAAGTAATAAAGAAAGTGGACAGTGCCATTCACAATTGTGGTCCGATTGGCAGCCAACGCGGCAAAACCCTCCCTCTCATGATGACCGGCCAATCCCTACGGTGGTGCGGCAGCAGCACAAGCCTCAGGACGACGCAGGAGACAAAGATGATAGTCTCTTGGCACAGGTGGGCATTGTTCTTTGTAAGCGTGCCCGTCACCCCGTTGGGGCAATTTGTGGTATAAGGTGGATAGCCATTCGTTATTCACCTGTGATTTTATCAGTTTGTGGTAAAGGTTTTCATATATTTTTGTTTATCTGAATTATATTCTTTAAAGCAGCAAAAAAAAAAGTGTTTCTATTGTAATATTAACAATTGAAAAAGCAAAACAATGTTTCACATACAGGGTGGCTCGGCAAAAATGGCCTGGGTTCAATTCCCAACATGGGCTCCTTTCTGTGCGGAGTTTGTATGTTCTCTCCCTGTTGTGCATGGATATTCTCCGACCTCTCTGATTTCCTTTCATAGCTTAAAAAAACACAATGTAGCTGGTATTGGCCAAAATATCCTGACACCGAAAAATTACTTGCAAAAATTACCCAATCACGATTACACATAGCAACATAGCTTTTGACTGCCATAATGATGGTGAATAATCAGATATCATCATTGTGTAAGTGTACAATGCTGTTTCTGACTCTTGTACGTTCAACAGGCATGGGTTGGAGAGGACGCACGCACGACTCCGTCAGCCGAGGGTGGAGACAACGCAGGTGGAGAACCGTCAGCCAAGCCGGAGGAGGGGGAACCGCGGGGCAGTGGTACCCCAGAGCCGTTAAGCGAGATGGCACTCAGAGAGGCTGGGCCGGTCATTGACGTGTTTGGGGAAGGGCTGGTGAGCAAATGCTTATTTGCCCAACTCCGCGTGGGGTTCAAGTACTTTTGTGCACGTGGAAATCTTTTGCTTCAAACATACACTGGAAATACGGTGTAAGACCAACATTGCATGGCAGCTTGTGGTAGTTTTAAGTACTGAATCTGGACACTGATAATATGGATGTTTTTGTCTATGTTTTGTTGCTGTGCTTACATACCACAGATCTCACTTATAAAATATCTGAGCAACTGGCTTAACGGATGATCTGTGTAACAAATAAAATAAATGTAATTGGTACATTAAGGTGAGCTTTCCTGAAATGTAGTTGATGGTGGAGGTGAGGGACCTCCATTTGTATTCCAGGTATAAGAGGGAAGTGAGAATGTTGAGTGGAGGACTTTGTGCATTTACTTTCTAATGTACATATTGTCGGGAGGTAAAAATTAATGTTAAGAGATGAGATTATGAGGTAGGAGTAAAGTCTGTGTCTGATCAAAGAGCTGGACCCTCAGCAAAGCAAGTCGTAAAAAATATGTTCGTAGCTACGGAATATAACTACTTTTCCGTGAATGTCACAGCTTGATAGGGGAAGCAACTAGAAAGTTCAGAATACAACATTGTCACTGCAGATGTAATGAGGAACATGAGGTTATTGTCAGTGAGCCATTTATGCAGTCTGGAGGAGGGCAGGTTACTACAATGAGCATTAGTATGGCACCCACAGTTTGGTAATCACCAAGCCAGGTGTCCCAGCCAAATGATGGGATATGATGAGAGCAGGTTTTGGAGGTCTTCTCTTACATTCAGTCTTGCTGTCCTTACGTGATGTCTGCACCTGTAGGCTGCAGGCGCCTACTCTAAGACGTGGTCGTACCGTGAAGACGCACTTCTGGCCATCTATCGCCAAATGGCTGAGCTTAAAGAAGGGATGGCTCGAGAGGATATCAGGGCAATGCTGAGGGCTGCCATTTTTCTCGTCCGTCGGGCCCTACGAGACCAGGTCACCTCGGTATGTACTAACACCTTTCTAGATTTGAAGCTTTCGTGACTGCAAGGATTCATACTCTTAGTTCTTTCGGTAAAGTCACGTAGGTAAAAAATGAAATAAAAATTTATAAAAATAAAACAATAAAAATTACGACGTTTCGGAGGCAACACAAGTCTCCGTCATCAGGTGGGACCGTCACAGCCAGATTTGCTGCAGCAAATCTGGCTGTGACGGTCCCACCTGATGACGGAGACGAAACGTCGTGATTTTTATTGTTTTATTTTTATTAATTTTTATTTCATTTTTTACCTACGTGACTTTACCGAAAGAACTAAGAGTATGTACTAACACCTGTTCACCCCAGCCTCGGTACATATGGCTTTCAATACGCAATATGGAAATGTACTGTATGATGTTATTTTTCTTTATGTTATGAGCCAAAGACAACTTTGGCGGATTATGTAGCTCATATAGAAATTGGTATCGAATTAAATTTTAGATTTATTCGATAATTAATGGATCAGACCACTAGATGATGAGATATAGAGTATTAAAGTTACATTTCTACGTGTAATTTTTTTAAAATATATATCTAAACGTTCAATTGGGTCGTCTGTTTGACGCAGGTGTTCAGTGCATCCCTGAAGGTGCTGAAGATGCTGGTGACCCAGTTTGTTCCCCAGCACCGTCTCGGCCGAGTCGATCTGTCGCACTGCGTAGAGGGCACGCTGCCCGGGCTCATGGTGCGCACCGGGGACACCACGACACGGCACCGCAACGCCGCCATGTCCTTCATACAGGCAAGTCGCAAGGCACGCCGCCGCTCCCTGGGCTGGTGGAAAAGTAGGCGCAGCACCACGCAATAGCTTTTGACGATTTACGCTGATTGATTCATTACGGTCTAGTTCTCCCCACGTCTGTTCAAGACTAACACTGTGAATAACATCGTTACATGTGATTTTGCAAGCTCAGCCAAGATGGGTCAGTTAGTCTCAAGGGCAGGGTAAATCCGTTCCAGATGTGATGGCTAAATTTCTCTCTAGTATGGTAGTAGAATGTTTCATTTTATAATGAACTTGTCTCATGATTAATTAACAGTTATTGTCCTTTTGGTGCAGGAGCCGCTTAAGTCACACACGATGATGGCTCCGACTCCTGACTCTAGCCTTGTTTCAGCTGTTTCTGACATAATAAACCATACCAAATCATTCTCATTCTTTACACTTTTTTATATCATTGCACCCAATGTATTCTGTGATACCTAAGTATTCCTTATTTTCTGCACCCCTTGGTGTCCGTAAGAAGGCAATGCCCCTACATTAATGCAACTGTGCATTACCTATGCTCATATAGTACTGTTTGTGTGTATTTGCACGTCAGGAGCTGGCCTTGCTGCAAGCAGTGCGTGCGTTGCAGCTGGTGCCCCCAGTGTTACTACAGTCTTTCGGAGCACATGCAGCGCCACGTGTCTCTATCAGCCAGCTGGAGCTGCTGCTGCGCCTGTTGCCTGAGCTGGGCCTGGACGGACACGGTCTCACTCCCACCAATGTCATGAAGGTGATGGCATGGAGGCACAAATTTGTCGACATGGGTTCCACACATCCTCACCGATGGCACATGTGTGCTTACTTCAAGGATTTTTTTTATCTATTGGTAAAATCTGCTCTTTCAGTTTTCAATCAAATCTGCCAATTTGCTGGAAAACAACGGAGGAAACTCATAAAAAGTTGAATCCAGTTTCCACCATGTGGAAAGTAATTGCCACTTTCCACATGCACGGCAAAGTTTCCCTGCAATTTACGATCAGCATTGCTGCCTATAGAAACCACAAACATCGATGTTCATGGGGTGTACCCAAAGATGTGGGCATGGTCATGGCGATAATTTTGTGAGGTAAAAAGTAGGGATGCTATCAGATAGAAACAAACATTGGTATTGGGTCTACTTTCCCACGTGTGTTGAAAGAGGTGGGTGTATTCACACTTTACCCCACCACAAGCGAAATGTGGTGTAGCCATTTGTAATGCTGGTTGGACAGAGGTCGTGGGGATTTTAGGAAACTCGCACCATTGTTTCAACTACTGCACCGAAATATGAAATTAAAACGGCGATTTCTGGATTTCAAGTGCGTTGTGCTAACCATTACCATTCCTCGTTGAACGGGGTCGATGCGTTCCTGAAAAGTGTTGCATTCAACAAAAATGGTGTAAAGTGAGGAATGACTGTACTGAATCACGTTTTCACTCAAGATTAAGCCTGCAGCCATCCCATGGTGGGACAAAGAACTTATATGAGGGTAGACCACGTACTGTATCATTCCGTGTACTGTATCCTACTGCTCAGGCATGCAGCTCAACAAAGCAGCTCGTTGCCGACCGCTCAGAAACCGCGTTATAACGGGGCGCGATCTGTGAAAATTGTTCCAGAATAGAAGAACCGTGTTATAGCCAAAACGTGTTTATGAAAAGGCGTGAAGTGAGGACTCACCGCACGTGTTAATGGCTGCGTCCCCGAGCAGGTGGCCCAGTGTGGCTTGGACCACACGGGAGCGGACGTGCGGGAGACCGCGGTGCGGCTCGTGCTCGCTCTCTACGGGATGCAGCCCGAGGCGGTGCGTGCCCTGCTGCCCCCGGACGATGCCAAAAGGCGAAGGAACTTGCTCTACCGCGGTCTCTTTGACGCCATGGACCGCATGGATGGCAAACCCACGCAGGCGGAAGTGCAGGTAATGTGTTTGGCGCGTGGGTGTTGGAGATCTTTCCTTGGTTGGATGATTACACGGATATCATGTGAATCTCCCAAACCCGGCATGGTGGCTTATACTTGAAAATACAGCAAATTAATTATGAAATTAATTGTGCAGAGTTTTCTGCGTTATCCGCTTATATGCACACGTTTTCCATGTAGTCTCCCACATGCAAAACATGTAAAAATGAAGGGGACAATCTTATTACATCCTGCAATGTAATAATCCATCTAGGTCTATCACACGAGCTGATTTCATCGCTCCATCTCTCCCTCGGTGAAAAAATTATCTCGGACACATTCCATTCCTTTATAACTCCACGATTAATAATCTTTGATTCTTTCGGTTAAGTTACGTAGGTAGAAAAACAATAGATCACGACGTTTCGATCGCAACACAAGCAATCGTCATCAGGTGGGACAACCACAGCAAGAAAGAACTGCTGAAGTAGGCAATCGTGATCTATTATTTTTCTACCTCCGTGACTTAACCGAAAGAACTAAGAGTATGAATCCTTGCAGTCACGAAAGCTTCAAATCTAGAAAGGTGTTAGTACATACCGAGGTGACCTGGTCTCGTAGGGCCCGACGGACGAGGAAAATGGCAGCCCTCAGCATTGCCCTGATATCCTCTCGAGCCATCCCTTCTTTAAGCTCAGCCATTTGGCGATAGATGGCCAGAAGTGCGTCTTCACGGTACGACCACGTCTTGGAGTAGGCGCCTGCAGCCTACAGGTGCAGACATCACGTAAAGACAGCAAGACTGAATGTCAGAGAAGACCTCCAAAACCTGCTCTTATCATATCCCATCATTTGGCTGGGACACCTGGCTTGGGGATTACCAAACTGTGGGTGCTATACTAATGCTCATTTTAGTAACCTGCCCTCCTCCAGCCTGCATAAATGGCTCACTGACAATCCATGATTATTCTTGATCACTAGCCATCATCTCTTTTAGCTATATGTCCTGCCCAAGCCCACTTTTCTTCGCTGTTTAATTGATGTCTTTAACTTGCATACTACCTCGTAGTGGGGTGGCGTTCATCTGCAATGATGACGCATAGCCATCGGTGTAAGTTCCTCTTGGTGAAGGCCAGTCTTTCCACAGGACGGCTGCTCGTGACTTCCCATTTACCTTGCGGGTGGATTGCGGTATCTGTAGGTACACCGCAAGGCAGCAGCCGAAGAGGCAGAGAGGCGTAAACAGGCAGAGATACAAGTCCTGCAGCAGCAGCTGTCGGCTCTGCATGAAATCCAGGCACAGGTGCAGCTTACCAAGGTACTCACCACCATGCACACCACTCATATCACGCCTGCCAAACTTGCTGTATTATGTCCACAGCATATACCATCCAGCAGGTTACATGAGTTGCGCATTTATCGATGTTATTTGCAACCTAGCAAAAGAGAGGACAATGCAATTTTTGAAAATATCTAAATATCTCTTTTAGTAAGGTGTATTGTGCTTCTATTTGTGTTGTGTTTTTGACAGGAGAAAGAAAAAGGCCGTCCAGGCAAGAAGCGAGGTAAGATGTCTTATTCATTAGGACACGCATCTTCTACGTGGCATGCACATCAACAGCAACCGCCATTCGCCACTGAGTAGTGGTGACATCACCACGGTGCCTGTGCCAAGCCAGATGCATCCCAAGACCATGTAAAATGTCAAAGGCTGGCTGGCAGGAAGTCATGGAACAGACCCAGGTGCTATGGATTGACTGACTGAGATGACTAACAGACGCACACCACCTTGTGCTCCCCACTGTGCGACCTTGCTGCGTTTTAGCCACCCAGCTCTCCGCTTGTTGTTGTGAGCTTCGCTCCTTTACCCTCCGCTGTCGTTGGAGAGTGGCTGCCTCCAACTGCCCAGTAGCGTCCTTCACAAACCTCCATGCACATCAAGCACAATGAGACCTACACCATGCACTTAACTCCAAACGCTTCTCCCTACACACACGTTATCTTATTGTTATTGTTGATGTGTGTGTGTGTTTAAATGTATATGCGTATGTTGTGTGTGTCCTCAGCAGAGGAGCCAGCAGTTGCCTCCCAAGGCCCCCAGCCTGTGGAAAAGTCCCCCCAGCGCCTTGCCGCAGTTCCTCGAGAAGTAACCCTTAATCACATACGCAATTAATGTAAAAGAAAACATACAGCTTTACGTTACCTGTATTTTTTTTTTTAAACGGCACATACACATGGTCAAATTGGATACACATAAATCAGGATACGGATTTGGAGTAAACGCCACAGTTCATAAGAAACTTGTCAAGAATAATTAAATATCTTAATGATGGGAAAATCCATCGTAACAGAGCAATCAGGTGCAGATTGAAAGCAACGTCACTGATTGTCAAGGATGAAAGCTTGTTGCGGTTTGTCAAGATTTTTACATTATGCAGTAGACATCAATTTACTCGCATGATTACAATGCTATATTGTGTTGCCTGTCAAGATGTACGATTTAAGATGTATGGGGTTTGTGTATATGATAATTTAAATAAATGTGTTGTTAAAATTCATATTATTTTGAATGTTAACCCAAATGCATTAAGAGGTATTAAGAGGGATATCAAGCTTGTGAGTGGTTGTCCTAAGCATGTCAACAATCAACAATTTAATAGCTGAATATTACTATCTGGTATGCCAGTGAAATGTGCAACAAAGTGCTATCCTGAGTGATTCCATGCAAGAGAGCAGTAGTCTGCATATCATTAACCATATGATATCATTAACCGTGTAATATATAAAATGGCCATACTCAAGTTTAGCCATTTAAAATAGCTTGCCATTGGAAAGCTACTCGAAAGATAAACACTCGAGCAAGTTTGTAATAGATTTTAGGTCAGAAAGGAATAATTAACTATAATCGTTGACTTCATTGGAGGCAATGACAATTATAACAACAAGGAAATAACAGATACAGATATGGTGTTACAAAATGCACTCCCAACTGTAACACATGACATCAACTCCACGAGGTGAAACCAATACAATGCACCAGACATTTTCGTGTTGTCAGCCATGGCCCTCAGGCATGTCATGATTCATACTCTTAGGTTTTTTCAGTAAATAATAATAGAAATAAAATAAGAAATCACAGTGATTTGTTATTTAATTTAAAGACAATTATTATTATAATTTATTTATATTTTTACCTACGTGACTTTAACGAAAAAACCTATGAGTATGAATCCTTGCAGTCACGAAAGCTTCAAATCTGTCATGATTCATGTTTCAACCCTAACTTGGGTACGACTACGGGTGTGACTTCATCATGAAGTCGCGCACGCAGTCACACGTGAATACATTTTTTAAATAAAATGCAATCAAGGCTGCGGAAACCTCAATCTAAGCACGTTGTTACACTTCTGCCGGGATGTCAGTGCCGTCTCGAGCGAGTGCCGTTTGTGTGCGTTGTGCTGCGGGCAGCATCTGTGTGTTCTGTGGGGAGCGGAGCGACTCGTTCACTGACGAGGGGCTGGACGTGCACTACTGGAGGCACTGCCCCATGCTGCAGCGCTGCGAGCACTGCAAACAGGTGACACGCAAACGGATGCAAAGTGCCAGAATTCACATTCAAGCGGTCATTGTGGCCATCCTGCAAAGTTTTGCCACCTTCATCTTTAACCCCGAGTTTATAGCACACAAAATATACAGCCTGCAAACATTCCAGGCTTTCATTCACTCGACCATCAGAACAGAAAGAGGGCGATGGACTGGCATGTAGTAGCTAGTTGGAACGGAACTTTACAGTACGGTGCATTTGATCCCAAACAGATTGGACTGTGAGTCGTCTAAATGGATGTTTGGTCATTACCTTCATGAGTATATTGCATGTAGGAGAACTGGAGTACATGGAGGAAAGCCATGCCGTGCATTTAAGGAAATAACACTATTATCTTCACAGACAAGTTAAAAGTCAATGTAATGTTCTTACTTCCACTCAGCACATAATGAAATCTGCATTATCCACCAACTCTGCTGCTAAAGTGTCAGACACCCAACCCACAGAGATACAACTTGGCCTATAATTTCCAGAACAAAATATATCGCGGAACTATATGTACAATTTTGTAGTCTGCTGACATGCATCAGTTATATGTGTGCACCCTGGTTTCTGTCACGTGCAACATACTCATTGAATAAATGGCCAAGCATCCCATCAGGATGCTCATGAAAAGTCTTGAATCGATTAAGCATTCTTGGAGATTAGTTTCTAGAGGCACGCTTTAACATCAGACATTCCAAAGTTTGCTACAGACCAATATTTGTTATCTTGTCTAAACCCCGAATGGGCAATAGAGCTCATATCCTGGGTGTTAATGTCCCCACATTTTGGGATTAGTCTTGAAACCAACATGCCTATGGAACACTCCGAAATGTGCACAGAAAAGTGGAATGTTCTGGTTGTTGAGCCACGTGTGGGCTGCCTTGTAGAGCGGCAGGTTTCAAGCATATGATGATGGTGACGTGATCAACCAAACTCACCCCGAAAGCACTGAACTACAAGCCTGAGCCACCACTTACTGCAGGACGACGCTACGAGGATTGATAAGACTTGTTGTGGCCAAATCTCATATATATGAAGACATCCCTTGGTACCCTTTGACCAGAATTAATATAAGTTAATTTGTATTTTATTGTGTGACACCTCTGCCCTTGTTTGTGATATTTTATAATTATAAAATTATCTTAACACTGAATGTCACTTTATTGTCCGTATCCTGCAAAAGAACTGGAATTAAAAACAATACATTGGGAAATAAAACTGTTCAAACAAAAAAACAATTAGAAATATTCCCATGCATTTTACAAGGGTGTCAACAGCTATGTAACATACAGGATTAACGCTCATTGCTCTTGGATACTATGGGAATGACACTTTACACATATGTGTGTGACACTTGTTGTTTTTTATGGTGAATGCTATGCGTTTAGGTTGTGGAGATTTCAGGCCTCACGGCCCACCGGCTCGGGGAGTGCGAGCGTGGCGATGGGTACGGGAAGTGCCCTCGCTGTGCTGAGGCCGTCCCCAAAACAAAGTTATCCGAGCACATACAGGCCAAGAGTTGCGCCCGTATGTACCATGTGCACCCACGCTCGTGCATGCCAACAACACACACACACAGCGGCACCCACACTATTATAGTCACACCCGCTTGCATGTTGTGTACATACCTCGAATGCATAAACTCTTGATATGCCCAACAATGTTGTTATCTTTGCATTTAAACATTAACATTGCTAAAGGTGATTCTAAAACGTTCACAAAAGCATGCATTAGTAATCATAGAGTCGATTAAACCATCATCCAAGGTCGGTTAAATATTTACTGATGAGTTATTTTGTCTGAAATCAAAATTTGGTTGTTAGTCATTTGAAGAGGCTGGGCTAGACCATAGCCTGCTTAATGCCGAGAGAAGATGGTAAAACATGCTCTGCTCAGCTGGATTATACATGACCCGGCAGGTTAGATAAACATTTCTAAACTATTCAAGCTGCAAAATTATGAGGCGGAGAATTCATGTGAAACGGATTCTAGATATTTTTGGAAAATTTCGAATTTTGTACGTCATGGCATGCATTTCATTTTCTACTTTATTGACCTGACCAGTGTTATTTGTTATCTCATGATTGTAAAACAAAGCCAAAATCAAATAAGTCTCAAGGTTGGTGTCTTCACCGACTGCTGCGTTATCACAGTGATAAATAAGAACATTCGCTTCACCTTGCGGCGCATTTCCCACAAGTGGTGGGACGCGCCGTGAGCTCCGAGGGAGCGAGTGGCTCACAGCCGCCCTGCGCTAAAGCCAGCAGCCACTTTCACAACCCAGACATTTCTTCCTAGTGTAATAAAGGTCGTGGAAGCGACTTCTGGAATCCGGTCTTTATTTGTCTTTCTTTACAACACTCCTTCACACTGCTGACAGACAGCGTGAGAAGGATAGAGAGAGAGAGATGCGCGCAGCCACGTGGCAGCCTGGACCCCCGCTCCAGCGTGGCCTCTCTCTCCGTTCGTTCCAGTTTTGACCACGTGTTGTTCGTCTCCACCCCTATTTAATACCCAGGTCACGTGGTACCTTTCCACCAATCCTGGTTAGCCTCTATGGAATCTTCTAGACTCCATCGTAGGCTCCCGGGACCACGCCCCTGACTCGTCTCCCCATTGGCTGTGGCTAAAGCCAGCAGAACCAATCCTCTACTTACAGATGTCTTCCCGTTACGTCAGGGCCACGCCCCTAGGCTTCCCTCCATTGGCTATGGACCAGGACCGGCAGAGCCAATCATCGTGACGAGTTGTGATCCGTCAGTGACCCGGATATATCCTCACATTACACTAGTTGCTGCTCAATTCACATCAATGTGGGAGAGAGAGATACACGAGGCTAAACCATCTCGGCCATCTTATCCCATTGCAGCTGCAAAGCCTGAAAGAGTGGCCAATCGATGTCCCCTCTGCCACACGGACTTTCCACCTGGAGAGGAGGTAAGAGATGGCTGCATGCGATTGTTTTTAATTCCAATCAAGATTGAACCGTTCAATGCATGAATGAGTCGCGCTTTGTCCTCTATCACCAATTATATCGCATTTATGTCATCAGTCGTGATGAGGTTAGATATCTTTACACAATACATCTTTTGATTTAAAGCTTTCGTGACTGCAGGGATTCATATTCTTGGTTCTTTCGGTAACGTCACGTAGAAGGGAAACAATAAAATAATAAAAATGTATTGTTTTATATTTTTATTATTTTATAGTTTTTCCTTGACATATAGGTTGCTTGTATCCAGTTTTTGTCCTAATTAATTATTGTTGATTATACAGAAACAACTTATGGTTTGGCTCCAGCCTTTGTCTTTAATAGATCATGTTTCCATTCTGTGCTGCTTTTCACGTTGGATCAAAGATGATCTCTCCATAACTGTTGAATGGATATTAGTTATCTCTGTCGAACCCTTTGGGTTTGTCTACGTTGAATGTTGTTCTTAATATCCACTTAAAATGCAATGTATTGGTTGTGATAGGCATGGAAGCCTCACCTGGTGAACAAAGAGGGATGTACGAAAAATCCTCGCAAAGAGCAGTACCTCCAACGGCTCCAAGAAGGTAGGAAACCCGAGTGGAATTCATGCAGTGCTTTCCCGCACTGTCTACACTTTTGCAATGCTCTTGCACTTCTAGATGTGAACACATTCATGTGTAATAAAGCTCGTTGAGACGACTTCTGGAATCTGTCTTTTATTCAACTTATTTTACAGTTACGTCATGCTGCTGATAAGCAGCGTGAGAGGGACAGATAGACAGAGAGAGATGCACTGCCACGTGGCAACTCGGAGCCCCGCTCCCACGTGGCCCCCTTCCTCTGTTCGTTCCCGTTCTGACCACGTGTCGTTCGTCTCCACCCCTATTTAATACCCGGGTCACGTGGTACATTTCCGCCAATCCTCGTTCGCCTCCATGGAATCTTCCAGGCTCCCTCGTCAGCTCCCGGGACCTCGCCCCTGACTCATCTTCCCATTGGCTGAGGCCAAAGCCTCAGGGCCATGCCCCTAGGCTTCCCCCCATTGGCTGTAAACCAGGACCGGCAGAGCCAATCACCATGACAAGTTGTGATACGTCAGTGAGCCGGATATATCCTCATATTACATCTGTAACAAATTATAGCTTCTTTAGTAAATGTGCTGGAGTTGCTTCTTCTGTGGTATGGCTAATGTAGATGTAGAGCAACAACTTACAGTTTCACATTCAGGTGGTCAAGCACCTGCCATGGTTTGTGCGGATGCGATTTCGGTTGGACCATGAGTTTCGTGGAATATCAAATCAAGGGATCTTCTGCGTTGGGTCTTTCACAAGGTGTTTCTGAGTTCTTTTGAACTGCATTCAGCTCTACAAGATTCATTGGGGTTGAACTCGCATCGTTGAAGGTTAATTGCACGGATCCAAAAGGGCTTGCTTGACTTCAAGTGATGACGGGGGGACGTTTTTGAGGTCCTGGTGAATGGGAAGGCGACTGTTTTCCTAGATTGGTAAGCACTTCCAGGAGGGTTGCAGCATTGCGGCGGATGGGTGGGGGAGAGATTTGTGACAGCACGGGCAGTGAGGATGTTGGGGTCAACTTGAGGGTTCCAGTGATACGTCGCATAGCAGTGTTCAGTTGGACATCAACAAGTCGAGTCTGACTACTTCTGGTCCATACTGGTGCACAGTCCTCAGCTACGAAGTACAAAAGGGCCATCGTTGATGTCCGTAGCCCTGGTGCTGATGTTCCCCAGCTTGTGCTTGCCAGTTTCTGGACCAGGTTGACCCTTGTTTTGGTCTTGGAAGCTACCTTTTTCACGTGATCGTGGAAGGTTAGCATACGGTCCAGCTTCACTCTAAGATAGTTTCGAGTGGGGTCGTGTTGCAGTGTTGCCGGAGAAGGTCACTTGCTGAGTGGACGCCTGGCACTCCCATTATTAAGATGAAATGAAGTGACTGTTGTTTTATGGGGATTTAGCTTGAGCCTCCATTTCTGTAAATGTTTCCCCATGGTGTTTAGGTCTTGGTTCAGAGTGGATTCGACGTGGTTGAAAGTGGCCGCTTTCGTTGCCAGGGAAGGTCATCCGCGTAAACCAATTTGCGTGACCCGGTTGGTGGCACGTCACTCGTGTTGACATTGAAGAGCGTTGGACGCTGCAGTTGCTGATTTGTACGTACCGTCTCTCGCTGTGTGTGTATTGGAAATGCCCGTTGTGCTTTGTCCGCAGCTCCGAAAGGTGGAGGAGCTGCCAAGAGCGGTGGGGCCGGGGTCAAGGTGGGCGCAGCACCGAAGGCCCAGCCCCGCGGAGGCATTCCCAAGCTTCAGGCGGCCAATAGGAACGCAGCGAAGTGACGCGATTGTGTTGTAGCCTCGGCGATTGTCTACGGTTCTAATCCTGATTTAAAGCTTTCATGACTGCAGGGATTCATAGTCTTGGTTCTTTCGGTAAAGTCACGTAGAAGGGAAATAATAAAATACAAATATATATTTGCATATTATTATTTCCCTTCTACGTAACTTTATTTGCATTTTATTATTTCCCTTCTACGTAACTTTACCGAAAGAACCAAGAATATGGTTCTAATCCTCTTACGACGTAACAAACAAGCATGCGCATGTTAACCTGGTTTGAAGAGCGTATGAAAAATAGAAAATATGAAGTATACATTGGGTTCAATTCACTTCATTCAAACTTGTTTTTATAAATTTTTTAAGACTGAATATTACGTTAAGTATATGCGCATCAAGACAATGTAGTTTTTTTCTGCTTTCATGATTCTTAACTAAATACCTATCACTCGACACCATCAAGAGTCTTATTTTTTACTATTTTACAATGTTTATCTTATTAATATATGCTAATAATTGTAAGCCCTTTGTTAATCCCCTTCTAGAGGAAGGCTTCCAAACCATTCAGTCGAGGGGGCTGTTTGTATGTATGTATGTTGAACGTAGCCAACTGCGCTAATCGGAGGTGTGGCGGAAGGACAACAAACTAAATACAAAAAGCAGTTCTAAATAAATGAGCTTTAATTTTATATTTAAAAGTGCTTAGCTCCAGTCGCTTCCTAATCTCGAAAGCAAGAGCGTTCCAGACGGCCGCAGAAGCGCACCTGAAAACGCGCGATGCAGTGACCCTCTTTGTTCGACGGTTTGACCATACGGCAGCACAACACTGGTTCGTGCAGGTTAGTAAAGGACAGTAAGATCAGTTCATATATCACTCGTCACTGATGTTAGCCGTGATGTTGAAATCAGGATGGCAGATTTGTCGTTCGGTCCACTAACCCGTGTGCCAACATTCCTCCCCACTTTACAGTTAAACATGGCACAAATGGGAACGCAATGAGAAAGGATTTTTTTATATTGTACGCTCCAGTGCTTTTCACGTAATCTTTGCTCGTTATATAACCAAGTTTACTTAGAGCTGAAGGAGTTACCTTGCAAATGTGTATGTTTATTCTCAAGAGACTATGGCATTATATTGCTACTCTCTTATCGTCCTATGAACGCTTTGCTAATCCAAGGACCTTTTCCCATCACGGAGTTATTTTTATTTTAACTAATAAATTATATTCATTGTGAATATCAAACTTATATAAAAATCGGAAGAATGTTCATTCCAACATTTTGGAATATAAGAGATTACCATGGAAAACGGTCATATCACCATGATGCATATTAAAAAAAGACACCCATAGTTGCGTGTGCTGCTTTGCTGTCGGTCCGGGTACCCATCGCGTATCCTACATTTCCATGACCACTGAATGTGCACCGAACCCCACGCTAGCCCTGAACGTGCCATCGCGGGAAATTCCCACGTCCCATCCTAACACCCGGCCCATCAATCTCTGCAGCCGATATGTAATTCTAACCTTCCACCAGCACTGAGAACCAAGATCATGCAGTGCTTGAATCGGGATGGTTGTCAATCTATTACACAGCCCGTTCTACCCTCCAGACCTTTCATCCGTTCCCCCAAGCCTGCCTTGTCCCATGCAATGTCACAAAACGTCTCGTTCCTATCATTCATTCTCTTGCCAATTTAACTCCCTTATGCCCTGCTCGAAACATTATAACAACTTTGCGGGGAATGCTGTCAAAACTGCTGGCCTGTACTCACAAGCAGGCACTGCACTGGCAATATAGCAACAGTGATCACTGTAGGACAGAAATCGGCGAACGTCACAAGGGGGGGGGGGGGGGGCACCACAATATTAGGGCGGAGTTGGAGCACAGATCCACACCCTCCATGTAAATAAAACTCAACACGTTGCGTAATGTCAGAGCTGACCTTGGGTGTCGGGTGTCCACTGCAATATCGTGCAGAAAAATCTATGGAAAAGGCGTTGTGGGCATCAACAGCATCAGTAATTCTAGATTTGAAGCTTTCGTGACTGCAAGGATTCATATTGTTGGGTTTTTTCGGTAAAGTCACGTAGGTAAAAAAATAAAATTAATAAAAGTAACGTCGTAATTTTTATTTTATTTTTATTTTACTTTTATTAATTTTTACCTACGTGACTTTACCGAAAAAAATCCAAGAATAAGCATCGGTAATGGTCCCGACTAAACTTGATTAAACATTGATCGGCCAGATTCTCAAAAGACAACGTCGGTAGGTCTCCCTGCGCAGAAACAGTAATGGATCTAAGATGCCCGAAGCAGTCGTATGCCTTAAGGCTGTGATAATGGTCTAGCAAACAATACATTCGTAAATTTCGATTTAAAGCTTTCGTGACTGCAGGGATTCATCTTCTTGGTTCTTTCGGTAAAGTCCGTGACTTTACCGAAAGAACCAAGAAGATGAATACATTCTTACATGTAGGCTTTCGCGACCAATATAATCCATAATAGTTTTTTTGGGGTAGATCACGTATAAATATATAAATGTGCCGTTAAAACCCGCCACCACCCGACACAGCCAACTAGTAAGGGTTGTCACGTAAGCAGAACGTGCCAATTCGTGATATTCTCGTAAGTTTTAATGTGACTTCTCTGTTCACGAGGGTTCCGGTCAACGAGTCAATTAAATTACTCGACACTGGTCACGAACAAAGGTTTAGCCAAAGATATCCCAAGACTAGCTGAACACGGTCTAAAGAAGACTTCTCGTGGCAAGGTGACTTCTATCAACAAAAGGAAGGGGCAGCAATGGGCTCTCCTTTGTCTCCTGTGATAGCGGATTTGTACATGGAAGATTTTGAAACAAAAGCAATAGCTTCAAGCACACTAAAACCATCTGCTTGGTTGAGACATGTGGTCTGGCCACACGGCAAAGATATACTGAACACATTTCTAAATCATCTCAACTCGCAAAACCCATCCATCAAGTTCACCATGGAAGTGGAAGCTGACAGAACTCTACCATTTCTGGATATTCTGCTCGGACGGGGTCGAAATGGTAAAATTACACAGTGTTTACCGAAAGTAAACGCATACTGACACATATCTGAATGCAGTCATACCATCACCCTGCACAGAAATCTGCTCTTATCAAAACGCTCATTCATCGAGCTAACAAAGTATCAGATGGTGACAGTCTGAGAAGTGAAATTCAAGATGTTAAAAAAGCACTGCAAGTTAACGGTTATAATGATGCACAAATCAACAGGGCAATGAATGCCACAACCAATTCAAATAACACGAGCATTGAAACTGCCCAAGTAATTAAAACGATCAAAATACCGTACATTGCGGGAGTAACTGATAAACTAACCAGATGTTTGAAAAAACAAAACATCCGAGTCAGATTTGGCACGGTACATAAAATGCGGAAATTAATATCTGCAGTGTATTACCGCAGCTATCAACAGAAGGTGAGTACAGGATTAACTGCACGTGTGGTAAATGTTATGTTGGGCAAACAGGACGAATGATCAGCACGAGACTAAAAGAACATCAGAGAAATATTAAATTCTCCCAAATACAACTGTTAGCAGTAGCAGAACACGCGTGCCAACAAGGGCACTCGATTGATTTTGATAATGTTTAAGTTTTGTGCAAAACTAGCTACTACTGGCCAAGACTAATTAGAGAATCTATCACAATTGAAAGAAAGAAAAAAAAACTTTAACCGTTCAGTTAGCGACCGCCTTAGTGCTGCGTGGAAGCGAATCATCAAATAACACATTATTTAAATGCATGCCTACAAAGGTCAGCGTACTTCAATAGGGATTACCGTTGGTATGGATATTTTAATACACACAATAGACAGGAAGGACAAGTTGAAAGGGCTCGCATAATGCACATGCATAATGTACCCTGCCTCAGTAATCCCCCCCTCCCCCTCGTGGCGCAAGAGCGCAAAAGCGTGGTCATCACATCTACCCCTCTATTTAAGGAACGAAACAATAAGACTTCACAAATCTGGCTGTCGCCTGATGAAGCTAGTTGTAATTACTGGCGAAACGTCGTACTCAGATTATAAATGTTGTGGCTTGGCTCTCCAACACACCGGTGTGCTGTACTAGTGACGAATTGGCCACGTTCAGTTTACGTGACAACCCTAACTAGTTGGCTGTGTCGGGTGGTGGCGGGTTTTAACGACACATTTGTAATGCGGGCGCGGGCGACCTCCCGGATGTGACGTCACGGAGAGGTGGAGTTAGGTGACGTGGGAGGAAAGGTTAAGGTTCTTAAGGGAGGAGACCGGAAGAGGAAGGCAGAACGAGTGGGACTGGACCAGAGTAAGGCCACGTGGGCAAAGCCAAGGGGTGGCAGCGGCGGCCAGCGGTGGCCAGCTAAGGGAGCAGCCAGCGGAGCTGCGAGAGAAGACAGCGGTGGGGCGGCTGGAGAGAAGGCGGACGAGGAGCTGCGGGGAACACAGCCGGCGAGGCTGTGTGTGAGGGAGAGGCTACGAGAGCGACGAGAGGAGAGAGAGGCTGAGAGAACGACGAGGGGAGAAACTGCAGGAGAGCAGTATCAGTGTCAGTATAGAGTCTTATAGAAGGACAGCCGTGCGGGTTAAGAGAGAAGAACCGAATAAAGGACACCAAGCCAGACATCGTGGTCGAGTCCTTTATTACATTGGTGTCGGAAGTGCAACGGCATGTCGAAACAAGTGAGAAAGAAAAATGTTCCAGCGCCGGCATCGGCTTCTTCGTCCGAAGACGAAGACTTCCCTCCAAACATGGATCCTGCCAGGGTGGTGGAGGAGAGCCCTGCTGAAACGAGTGCGGGGACGGGAGTGGAAGATGTAGCCACAGTGTCAGGGCCGCCGACACCATCAGACGCTGATCGGCGATGGCTGCAGGTGGATGAGCAACTGGAGACTCTCAAGGACGCCCTGGGCCAATTGTGTCATCTCGTCACCCCAAGCACGGCGACGGAGAGAGCGGAGAGTGCTCCACAGGCCGCCACGGGTTCTTCACTCCCGGCGCCATGGGCCACGCGGCAGGAGGCCGCCATCTTGCGCGTGCCGCGGCGGGAATCCGCCATCTTGACCACGCCGCGATTCGACGCCATTTTGAATTTGCCTCCGGAGGAACCATCGGCGGAGGGCGGAGTGAAGCGAAGTCGGAGTCGCCATCTCACCACGGTCAAGGAATTCGCCATTGGGGGCGACTGGAGCGCTTTCGCCTGCAGATTTTTAGCGGCGGTCCGTTCTGCGAGATGGACCGATGCTGAGGCCTTGGAAGTGTTGCCGACTCTTCTGGACGACGAATCTGTTCGTTTTTTTCGCTCCATTAAGGCCGAGAAGAAGAGGACATTATATGGAGTTTTTCAAGAAATGGCCGACGCCTACGAGCCACCTGACGACGCGCATCGGCGATTCGCTCAACGACAACGAGCGCCCGAGGAGTCGCCTGTGGCGTACAGGGGTGCAGTGCTTGATTTGGCTATGGCCGCGTATCCAGATACAACACCTGACCTGCTCGAGCCTCTCATCTTGGGCAAGATGCTCGAGCTGTCGCGGGATCTTGGGATTCCCATGCCGGTGTGCGGGCATGAGAAGCTCACCTCCCGGGCGGCGGCGAAATGTCTGGATGCACAATTCAACCTACGACGATGGAAACAGGTCACGGCGTGGACAGGGGGGCCCGTCGCGGAGGGTGGCGCTCTGGGTTGGGACCCTACGAAGTCGGTATACGTGCCGGATGAGCGGGGCCCTCAGGAGCTGACGGCCGCCTCGGTGCCATGGTCAGGCCGCGGTGGACCGGCCTCTCGTGCTGCACCGCCGATACGCGGGCGGCGCGATGCAAGGCCTGCGCTTCGGCGCAACGACGCCGATTGCTTCCGCTGCGGACGGAAGGGCCACTACGCGAAGGACTGCTGGGCCCGCATCCCGGGTCCGCCACAACAGGAGGCCTCATTACCGGCCAAGCCGCCCAAGGATCCACCGAAACAGGCCGGCCTTGACACCGGAGGGGACGAGGCGCTCTGCTCGGAGGGTGCCTGCCAGATCTGCGGGTCCTTCGAGCCCTGCAGCCCTTCCGACCCCGCTGCAGACGCATCCGCGGGACAAGCCCAAGACTGATCCTTCAAGGACACGGGACGTTGGTGGACTTCCAACAGCGACAGGGGGATTTCACCCTGTCGCTCCTCAAACTCAATCACGTTCCCGTTCCGCGGATGGGCCGCCGACCGTCCGGGACGGGCCGGCGACCCGCACACGCTCTAAATCCCTTGTGTTTCGTTGATTGTTATGTTGTATTGTTCTTACTGTGTATTTATTGCCTGCTTCTGCTAC